CCTTACCTTTACCTTTACCTTCTATCTCAGAGCGAACAACTATTTGCAATGGAAAGTGGTGTAAAGATTAGTAGAGAGGGCAGTGGCATGAAGTCCGTCCCCTTCTGTGTGTGTGTTGTGATCAAAGCTTCTGTATGCCTTGTTTACACAGCTACGCCAGCCTTTTAGTGCATGTGCGTTCTCTTTTTAGCTCCACTGGTCAGGTCATTGCCGTGTTTTGCATTGTTTATATGGGGTGTATTGCTAATGGGGCAGCTCCAAATGGAAGTGTAGCCTACCGGCCAAACAAATTCCCAATCCCAACTTCAATTCCAACACACGGTTAATTGTCCTAAGCTAGAAACTATGGCAGGGAGACGTGTTCCCAATTGTTACATGTGTGTGTCTTCATTTTTTCACAGCAAGTAACCTTTGAATAGCAAACCAAGGCTCACTAAGCAATGAGAGAATGAATAGGCCATCATTGTGCTGTTTTCTCCAATCACATTAAGTAATTTTAGTTTTAACTTGAGTTAACGTTTGTATGTATGCTGAGAGGAAGGTACACATTCGTCTTGATTACCTGCATTCATAAATTTACATTTGATTCATACTTTTTCACTGCAGTTTAGTCTTTATAGGTTTTGAAGGAATCACTTGTCCTGCCTAGAGGAGAACTTCCCCATAGGAATCATTTTGCGGCATTGTAACCTGCGTATTGTCGGCAGGATATTCAAATTATTATTTGGCCACGGTCTAGGTTCGTTGGGAGAGGTTAGATAACAATTTGACACACACACACACAAAGAAAATGGAGCCGCTGGATTGATTTCAAAGATTATATTGAACCGTATAAACACGTATAAAATCCTGCTCAACACTGACTATGCCCTTATTGACACATTATCAACCCTGTTCCGTTGAAATGGTAAACGGATCCTTGAATTATCTTGAATTCCTTCAGTTGATTCCTCGAAGATCATTTTCCTTTAGGTTCAAGCCCTCCTTGTTTTCTTTCAAGGTCTGTTCGAAAAGTCAAAAGGAATCAAAAGAGTAAGTCAAACGTGAACTCTGTTGCCCTCTTTGTCCAAACACTTTGAGTCTGCCTTGTGTATGAAAAGCGCTATACAAATAAAATGGCCTTGCCTTGCCTTGCCAAACACACTGGTGCACTACTTTGTTTACGTTGAAATGGTCATTTTAAGTACGCTATACTAGCTCAAAAGTACTCCTGACTGACTATTTTTGGTAACTTCAACTCAAGTGTAAGTATACTACACTAAATAAGCATGTGTTAGTACAACATATAATACATGTTTAACTTTACTTGAATTTACTTGAACAAGTTCCTTTACTTGATTTTTTCAAGGCAATCGGTTCGCATGCTTTTTTTAAGTAAGGTTTACTGATTGGATTTTACAGTGCAGGTGATGAGAACTGAAGAAGAAGCTGTCCTCTCCTCAGCAACAGGAAATATCTCCGTCCAACTCCTCAACTCCTTGGTGTAAGGAGATGATCGGGTTTCGTGGTGGCTCACCATCTCCCTCGTCAGGGAAAATTATATATCCAGAAGCAGAAGGTATTCAGGCAACCTCAAAAACGCAGCCAAAAGTTGTAAAGTTCTCTGAATCACTTTTCTCCTGTGGCATAAATGCAGTCTCAAAGCGTCTTTAACAGTTTTACCAGTTGTTACTTTGGTCGCTGAACTACTGTAAAAACAGTTAGCACTCCTTCAAACTGATATTTTTCTAGGAAGGGTTGGGCCATGTTTTCTTTTACCCAATCGGGACTTTGCATTTCCAGAAATAACCAATGAAAAGCATATCTATGTAAAACTTCTGTGATTGACACCCTGCCCAACAAGCAGAAATGCATTAGACCAGAACGACAACAAACACTTTTATCAATCTTGTTACATCACAATTATAAAACAATATATTAGGTACTATCCACTTACAGGAAGTTACTCGGCAACCATCCCACCACTGGTAACAAGGGGAGCCCCCCAACCGCCCTCCACCACCACAGAAAACCTTTTTTAAACAGGAAGATAAAACATAAGTGAAAAGTCATTTCTCACACACCAGTTCATGTCACATAAATAATCTAATAGATTGTTTCAATGAGAGGTTTGTGTTGTCTTTGGCCAAGAAAACAGTTTAACATAAGCATGGAAGACACATAACAAATGACATTTTGTATCTCGCAACTCAAAAATGTCCAACCTCCTCAGGGAAAAGGTTCAACCGAACACTCAAAGTCACAGTTCCTCCTCTGTAATAGACTAAAATCTCGCAACAAGGTAAAAACACATCTCCCAATGTTATCAAAGTATTTAGTAGTTAAACAATCATTTCAAGTGGTCTTCTTTGTCAAAAAAAGTGCCTAAACAACTTTGACGCTGCACTGCACTTCAGTGGGGAGTTCAGTTGACAAAGTAAAAGAAAATTCTGTTTTAAAAGCATCACATCATTTTTTTTCAGGGTTTTGAACTCTCAAATCAACATTTCATGATATTTACTCGTATCTTAAAACAGTCTGCAACAGGTCAAATGCATGAGAAGTTGTAAAGATTATATTGGAAGCCTCTTGACCGGTATTTGGTTTGTTTTGCTTCCTAACAAATATAACACGTTAATTTCCCTGTTTGAAAAATCCATATGGTTGAACACAACTTAACAAATTAGAACAAAACAAAACCTAAGACAAAAATTTACCTTTTCAAGGAAATTTGTGCGTACATTTCTTTGGGCGATAGTCAGTTTTTCACGGTGCGTTTGGCTACTAATTAGCTTCAAATGAGCCACATTAATGTCACCTGGCTTAAATATTCATTCATTCCAGAGATCCTCTTAGAGATCCTCAGAGAGACGCTCTTATTTTCTTCTCCAGAAAAGTGGATGACGGCCGGTGTTTTTTGTAGCAAAAGCTTTATTTCATTATCATCAGTTGTTTTAGGGGGATGGTTCATATCTCTCCTTTTTGTGGTCAGTCTGAATAGATTTTGTTGTCGTGTTCAAATGCTGCATGCGGGTCAATTCATCCCGTTCACACTACCAACTATCCTGACGTCAAACAATCATTATTATTTATTCCCTGTGATGGTGATCCCCATGAAACAAACAGCATTAGACTATAAGCGTGCTGTGATGGTAATATGATGAGCTTCTGGCTTTACTTTTGTTGAACGCAGGGTAAAACGCTTTGAACGATACTTAGAGCCCCATGTCTTTGCTAAGGACACAGTGGTTATGTTTTCATGGCAGCTTAAGAGAAGTCTTGATCCATAGAGCATTTATCAAATCTAACCCCCCAAATCAGTTTCACAACAGCTGCAAATGGGACAGTGGAACATCAGTCACTGTAAAGGACATGCACAATGCAAAAAAAACTAAATTAATGATGGGCCGTAACCAAAGCCGGTTTCACGGCACCACGGCTGGCATCATTTATCACTTCAAAGATCCACTTAATGCATCGTTCCAGTCCGGTCAAAGCTCTGTATTATGAAAATAATAAGAATGTAAGGATTTTCGGCTTTGCAAATCCCCCCCCCCAAAAAAAGGACATTGTCAAACAGAAGTTAAGTGTATGGAAGGGAAATAATGGTTTTAGTTGCTAAGAAGGAGAAACTGGCTAATTTAATGTTGTCCCCCCTTGTGTTGGGGATCCCCTTGACCACATCCACAGAATTACAGCACTCCAGTCTGTGGATCCTCCTGGCTTTCAATGGTTGTAAGGAGAATGTATAGTGAGAAACCAGAGGCAAAGTTCCTACTGAGCCACGGCACCATTAACACCATAAATCACCTGGCAAATACAAGAATCTCCGGAATTCAACCCTGTCGGCTTCTTCTTTTTCACCCCCCCCCCCCCCTCCCCCCTTCTGCCCTTGCAGGCAAACATATTTGAAACAAAGGACTTTTTCTTCCATGTTTTTTTCTCTTACTTGCCTTTAATACTTCTCTCCTAAATTACCTGCTGTCAACACGTCTGATACATATTTAGTGTGGACGTCATTTTATTTGAGTCAAAATTTCCACAGAGTAATGGCAGTCGTAAAGCTCCCCTGACAACTACTAACACCTGCTGAAAATGGTATCAAATATTTACCAAATGACAGCTGATCCACTGAGTGATTAACTAATGAATCTGGAGCAGGAAGTCTTTCCCTGCAGCAGACGGGATCAGCTTCCTCGTGGCTGTCAGTGGTCCTCGGTGACAGCTCGTTTACAGTACAGCCACTGATATAAAACTGTCAGCACGTTTCAAAAATGTGTGAGGTTCGGGTAGGAACATCGATACCCCAGGTCACATTATAATAAGAGGAGGTTTAGTCCTTCTTCGCGAGAGCTGCTGTCTAAGTTTGAAGTGTAAAACTACTGAGACCCGAGAGAATCTGTGACCCACTTCTGTCACATTGAAGCCAAATTCCCAGAGGGCACAATTTAGCTCAGTGCGAGGATCATGCAGGAATCCAAAATAGCAGGAGAAAAAAATAATGTTTCCATGACATAATTTACAGTTAACAACTTCTCACAGTGATGCTGTTAAAAACTAAGTCTTCATTCCCTTTTAAGATAAGTTCTTCAGTGATTGAACCTCGTGGCCAGTCGTCTGTTCTAAAGGCGTCTAAGCTACACATCTAACGCCCCCGAAGAAGGAGACCAGCCCCAACTTGCACCACTACAATTTGGCTATTGAAAATGCAAGGGTTGGGAAGGAGGAGGCGAGATATCTTGTCATGGTGCCCTGTGGGTTCAGGAGGGCTGGAAGGACTGCCCTGTCTCAGTGATTAATGATGGGGGACTAGGAGGGATGGATCGAGGAGGAGGAGGCTCATGTTGCGAGTGTAACCTTAATAAACTGTAGAGTTTTCAATTAATCTAAAACATGCCTTTATTTGATTACTTTCTTTTGTTTTGTTTTTTCCCTCAGAGATCTGAATCCTTCATGAAATTCTGCTGGAAAAAGATCTGAAATCGAATCAGCGATGAATAAGGTAAACATTACACAAGGGCTGCAGTTTTCCCAAATGCATTTATTAATAAGCGTGTACAGCATATGACATCAATTAATCAAGAAACGTATAAAAGACTTGCTGTGTACCTTAATGGGATTAATAAAAATATAACAGCATTGGTTATTAATGTTATTCTTCCCATTTCACGCTTAAACATTTTATGCAATTGACCCGTTATTTACAGTAGAAAAGAGCCAAACGTAACACTTAGAAAAAGAGGGAAATCACTCTTAACAAGATTCTCACATGCATTGAACGTGCAACAACAATATGAATGTAACAGCCACAAAATAACAGCAAAACATGTAGTAATTTATAGATCAAATGTGTTTTGAATGCCCCGTGAGTAATATGAGCAGCAGGTTTGAGCCGCAGTCTTCAGTCTCTGTGGATGAGAAACACAAATGATATCGCTGTAGCTCTCCTTCAATTAAGATATGTTCATAGAGTTTAATTAAAATGTTTCATGAATGGTGTGTTAAGGGGATTTAAACCCAGGGATGCTAATAAGACATCAACCAGTCTTTCATAAGTGAAAGTGGATGAAGAATATCATTGAGATTCTGATGAGCACGGGAGGAATGTCCATTATGGACCCCTAGGGCCAGTTTGAAATGCCAGCACGGTGATGGCTGCCTGTGCTCGTACAGGAGGGCGGAGGGCCCTTTGCAACAGGTGGAAGCATGCAGCTCAGACGGGGCAGGTCCGCGGGGTCGTTACACTGACCACTGCCGCCGTAAGCGCCAAAAAGAGAGGAGGACGTAGGAGCGTAGTCCATAAATTGCAGCTCTGAGAAGGTTCTTTCAACGCATTCACCCTGAAGCCTCGACTGGTCTGCACATGAGCTCGACCTGAGGGAAGGGCTATAAGGAGCCCACTGGGAAAACCTGGCGCCCGTTCCATGCCTCTGCTCCTTTTTGTGCCTCATCCTGCGGTTCTGAAACCAAATCTTCACCTGGCGGTCGGTGAGACGCAGCCCGGCGGCCATCTCCAGCCGCCGAGAACGACACAGGTAAGGGCTGAAGTGAAACTCCTTCTCCAGCTCCAGCAGCTGGCTTTTGGTGAAGGCCGTTCGCTCCCTTCTGACGCAGAGCCTTCCTCTGCCAGACAGATCCACCGCCAAGCCCCCCCCGACTGATGCAGGAGGAAGCAGATAAAGAAGAGAAAGGGATAAGAGCCACCGCGCAATATGTCACAGGCCTATCCTGAAACGTACACCCTCCTTGGACTTCAAGTGCCAGTGAGAACCATGTTAATCCTCCGCCAATCAACCTGGGACAAATTAGGGTTCTCGGCTCTTCCTGTGTATTCAGTCATGCTTTAGACACTATACAAGACTGGCTGTCTACTGTGTCATGTGTTCAGGGTAAGTTACCTCCTGAAGAAACAGTCTGGGGGAAACATCTGACGCCGCTACGGCTGCCTGACAGGCCACATTAATCACAGCTCCACACGGAAGCAGACCTGTCAAATCCCCATCTCAGTCACTTAGAAGGTACCATGGGACCACCACTGAAAATAACCACCATTAGAGATTCGATTTGACATGTATATGGGCAATACCGGGGCCTTCTTGACAACAGCATAACACACAGGGGTTAATGGATCTCTTATGGCCGTAATGATAGTGGCCTTAGAAGGAAGAGGGCTCTCCTCAGACTGGCAAACTGTTGCTTCATTGTTGATTTTAGTTTCAAGGTTGTGATGTTTATTTATTTATGTAAATAAAAAACATTTTGGTAATTTATTTATATTTGTTGTTTAACATACTCTACTTTAATGTATTTAATATTAAAACGTTCTATTTCTGTGATTGACAATGATTAACACTCAAAACAAATGTATTTAGTGAATAGAATCGATTTATTGAAAGGTGCCCAACCGTGTCACTGTAGCTTTAGAAGATTATTTCTAACCTGAACAGAAAACAACTAGCAAGTCAATGACATTTACATAAACAATGTGACACATTATTATCAAGCTATAGTGAGACCTTTGCTTGTACTACGTAGAAATGTTGTCATCAGGTTAGATTGGGGGGCTCCCTGGCTTCAGTTGTGTCTTCATGAAACAAAGAGTCTAAGCAGCTATAGAGTCAGAGATTAGCTGTATATCAGACTGCACATTTTAAAGATTGTGCACTCACTTTTGAGCTTTAAAAAAAAAGACAAAACCAGAGTTACCATATAGTTCTGAATCAGCTGGCCGTGGATTCATCCAGGGATAAATTACTCCTGAGTGGCAGATGGCGAGTAGACCGCAGCTCCTGCTCTTGAAGTCCACCTCGGCATGGCAGTGACCCAGAGGCTCCAGTGGGCACTGAAGATGTTCACCTGGGTTCAACCTGGAACTGACATGAGCAGAGGAGGTCATGTTTGGCTGATTAAGTTCAGTTTCTTTGCCTCCTCCTCCTCCTTCATCGTATTCCGCGCTCAGTTTTGGCACTTGTCCAGAGCTCACAGCAAAACTGTTGCCATGCAGTAGTAGGAGGGCAGACTGTTGGGGGTCCATGGACCCAGCTCATCAAACTGTATGATACCAGGGGTCTCTCAACAGTAGTAAAGAATATAGCACTTCTGAACGTCTAGTATCCGATCAAAATGAACCTGATTTAAAAAGCCATGCAGCGAAGCGCACTTGAAATAACCACGTGTAACATTTGAATAACGTTTACCAGAAGGGAGCCGTAGTCACGTGAGGCCATCGTCCAATAGCAGAGCTTCGGAGTTGCAAAGTGATCCGCAGGCAACTTGGGGCGACCGGAGAAGCGTCTGCGATATTTCTTCAGATAACATTTCTATGAGCCGCCTGCGTTCCTTTATCTATAAAACACAAAACGGAATATGAGTTGACGCCAACAACTGTGTCATAACTGTCAGGGGTAAATAAGATGGGTGTGTTTACGCGTGAGGGAGACACAATGGCAGAGAGGGGGAGACCGCGCGGTGTGAGGAACGTCTCGTTTCAAACTCAGCGTTGATTTCTTGTAATGTTGTCAATATTTCCCGACAGGACGAGATTGTTAGAAGGACCCACGTGTCTGCAGCTGCACATCCCGACCCCGTGGTAGGTTTGACCACAGCGTGAGGACTGAATAATGTCGATGAGCTAATACACTCCATGGTAACGCGTCATCGACCACAACTGATTATTTCACGTCGGCTTTTTCAGATGTAAAACGTCTAATAAGGAATTGGTAATTGCGGTGTATTTTTCTGCAATTAAATATAATAACAGAATAGGAAGAAGAAGAATTTCCCTGTATTTCAAGGTTGTTAGCTGCTCTATATGGGCACTGCGAAACGCCCGGCTCGTGTAAAATAAATAATTCCGATTGTTTTGGATAATTTGGTTTGCAACTTATTTGACTGCCCAGTATAAATCGGCGGGCTTTCCCTTTTAAATACGAACATATGCGTATAACTGTTGGGGCGAAAGTATAGCTTTGGCTTAATCGGATTCACGGGGAGTGGTCAAACAAAGGCTTTGACAGTCATTGCCACACAAAGACAAAGGAGGCAATCTTTGGAGACTTTTTTTCTCCTCCCGGCGCATTTGCATTAAGCAGGCATCACTGTACAGTATCGAGTGTCCCTGTCTGTGGCTCTGTGGCGACGGACAAACGCAGGGGACGTTTGGGTGGGGGACACCCCGCTTGCTCCACGGCCGGATGGACAAAGGAGTGGGGGAGATGTTCTCCAGAGTCCTTATTTGACGCCTGTTTTACAGCGACAATGCAGTCCATACAAAGTACAGGGAACTTGGAAATACACTTAGAAAGGTGCAAAGCACTTAAACGAAATGTGGATTTTGGAACTTCGTTTAAAACTCCCGTAATAAATGTGTTGGGGGGAATTATTTGAGCTAAATGCTACATCAATTGTGGGCAAAGTGAGTTACCCTTGGGAAGAAAAGAAAACTCATAAAACACGAGTGCGTCGTTTCAACACGACACAACGTGTGCAAAGTGGATAAATAACTAGAATAATGAAGCCATTGCAATTATTAAATAAAACTGTGCAGCAAAAGAAACGTCTTCCAAAAAGAGGGGTTTTTGGCATATCCTGTAAATCTCAGTTGAAGCAGGCTTTGGCTTTATAAGTTCCTTCTGGTGTTTGACCACAACAAAGCTGTGGAGAAATCCCCCTTCAGATGCCTCTCAGCGGTGATTGATTATGGACTCGGGGTTGCATAGCTTGGAAGAAGAGGAGCCTTCCCCCTTTTCCATTCACCCTTCGTTGCTTTGGCTGCCAACATCACTGAGGTTTCACCTGGTCTTTTCTTTTTTCTTTGTTGAATTTCCAAGGACACGATACGACCGTGATCAACATCAAACCGACTTTTACTCAAACCGAGTCCTAATTCAATTTAAACTAAAAATGAAAACATTTAGCTTGGATGCATCTCCTCAACTTGTCCATTAAAAGGGCAGCTAAATTACTAGCAGAATCCATAGAAATGAAAGCTTGCATCTCGTAACAATGCTAATAGTTATTATTGTCATTGTTTGTAATATAATTTAGCTCTATGTTGTATTATCAGGCAAATTAAGCACTGACAGAAATGCGGGAAAGTAATTAAATCCGTTGTTGTTTTCCTTACCTCACACCCTTGAACACACTCTCTATTGGAGATAGGAGCTGTGATATACTAGCTCAGCGAGACCATAATTTAGCTCCTCCGTGGCTCCACCACAATTCTCCGTGAACTCTGTTTGAACCGCCTCGGTGGCAATAAATCATTTTTCTCTCTCACACAAAAGCGCGCCGGTCGCTCCGGGTGTCGAGCCCGTTACAATCCCTCCTCGCCGCGTGCGCGCTCTCGCCTGCTAACACAAACAACACAGCAAATCGTCGATAAACTTTTATTTCCAATAACTTACGACGGTATTGGGGAACGGGGAGTATATCTGGAACCGCGCGCATCTGAAGAATAAAATCGTTGCATTCTGTATTTCCCCCCCCAAATTATATAGTCCTTAAAATTAAAAAACAAACAAACACACAATTGTTTTTCAGGGGTCAACAAATGCACTGATCGGTTAATGTATTTCTCAGGGAACAGAGGCGGGCAGGAGACCGGGAGAGAGCCGGGGAGAAGACGTTAATGGGCAGAGGATGCTGTCGGTTAAAACGGTGCATACAAATGGCGCTGTCTTGGCAGAGCAAGGAGAAGATTTATGGGCCCGATGCCCTATATTGCTGTAAACAATGCAGAGTGAAATGAAAGGACTGGAGTTTGCAGACTGCACTTTGTAAGTGAGGAAAAGACACACATTGTCAATTTCCTAAACAAGTCCTGACTTGCATGAGCATGTCCATTAACATGGAGTCATAATTTGGGACTGTTTAAAGCACAGCTCGCTGTAAATTCTGGCCTGTCTGTGGAGAGTGCACACTAACATAAATCGTGCAGCTCTGAGACATTGTATATCTCAATGTGTCACATTTGGAAATTACTTTTTGTTTACCCGGGGGAAATTTGCGTATCAGAATATCTTTAAAAACAAATGTGTTTTATATTTTCTTCTGAAAGGTGATGTATGTGTATAATATGTTCGCAGCTTGTGTGTGTTTCAACAATTAAAGATATTTTTTTTCTCCTCTCAACTAATGATGATGGGCCTTTTATTATTAAAATGAAACCTTTTTTTCATCATTGGAATCTTCGATTTTTAACTAATTTGGTTAAAATGGCGTGAGGCAGGTTTCCACCACGTGTTTAACATTCCGAAAGAGGGGTGACCCTTTTCTTTTTACATGCAGGGCTCCAACATTGAAATGTCTGAAACATTCCAAATTTCAGCTGATGTGCTCAAACAATGGAGCAAAGCAACTAGTGGCCACACAAACACAGCAATCATAGAGCAAATTAGATAAAACGGACATTTGCACTTAACCTATATAACTGTGGATCTATAGTCTTTTAGTTCCAAATTCGGATCACTTCTGCTAATGAAAAGTGAATAACAGAATCATAACTCAATCTAGTGACTGTCGGGGCTCCCGGTGACACCTTAAACTGAGGGGAAATTACTGTAATTTCTAAGGTCTTTAACGATGCAGCAAATAAGTTAATGAAAAATTCAACTCAGCGAGGCATTATGATGACACAGTGTTTCTGGCACGTTTCCTCGTGGTCATCGTGTCCCGTGGATGTGATGTTGGAGTCTCCAAGCTGCTTTGTCGCGCCCTGCTTGGAAGGTTTGCGAACGCTGACAGCAAATCATTTAACATGTCTGATGGAGTTTTGAAATGTAGCTTTATGTAAATGTGTTTAACCCAAGCACAGAAGCCCCTCCATCCCCCACCCCACAACACCCACAGGCACGCGCTCACACACGCACGCACGCACGCAAACACGCTCACAGCGACAACAAAAAAAAAGGAAAAGACGCGGTGCATCTGCTCACAAGAGTGAACGGATGGGCGAAAGATTTACGGATTTATGACACACCGACTGCTGGTCAATGCGAAGGAGCCTCTCTGTCCCTGGAAAATAGCAGCGTGACCCCTGTTTCAACTCTCAGCTTTTATGCAACATGTCTGCCGCTTAAACCCACTGCGCCACATCAATACACCTTTCATCAAAAACCAAAGTGGTTGAGGAAGGCACACCTGAGACGAGGAAGGGGAGGGGGGGGGGGGGCGTTTTGCAGCCTACTTACATACGTTCCCTGAAAGCAGGGAATAAAACACCACGCCGACACAACAGCTGATCATTACGGCTTCGATTGTGCCTCTTGTTAAAACATTTTGGTGGCAGTTTGTGTCAAGTTCTCTTTTTTTCTTCCGAGAGAAAGAGAGAGAAAAAGTCCTCGCCCGAGGTGCACATACATCAGATGGAGCCCGCAGCGGTGCAATGTGAGCTAAAAATCTCGTGTGATTCAACAGTTTTGAGTCAGAAAAAAAGTCTGTTATGGCTGAGTAAGTGTTGTGGAATTTAAACACTGAAAACCCATTACATAATGATTATAGTTCCTTAGCTTTTTTTGTACAGGACTGCTTAAAACTATGGCTGAAGGATGATATATTATTTAAAACTTGAGTGGAGAGTGGAAAATAATAAAAAAGGAAAAACAAAGAAGTCACTGATGTTGTTTAGACCAACTTTGAAGTTAACAGATATTTTGATGAAAATATCTGTGTGAATATTGAACACGTTTGTAAACGAAAAGTCAAGAGAGAATATCTCTGAAAATCATTCCTCGTGTTCATCTTAATAAAAATATTTTATTATAAACCAAAATTGACATCCCATCATTGTTCAGATTGTTATTTGAGCTCCACCGGTAACGCACAAGTAGGAGGAGCCGACTGAAGCTCAGCCTATAAATGAGACGATTAGTTGTTTGGGTTTTAGCGTCAGCTGTTTATCGAGACATGCTGTTTCCCTGAGCTCTGCAAGATGATGTCGTGTGTTGCTCAACGCATCCAAATAAGACCATTGTGATACATTCAAGGCCACTTTTACGATTTCCCAAATGAATTGAACAGAAAAGATGCTGAAATATCAATAATAGCAATACTTCATATTTAACGTCTTTGGAGTTGGGGTATCCCAGAGCTAAACATTATTTATTAGAAACAAGCTTCGTTCTGTTTTACAGAATTTCCATTTGGATTATATGTTAGGAAGAAGTGGAGTGTCAGTGGAAAGTTCGCAAGGTTGTTTTTTTACCTTGAAGGTCCCTGTCCATTAACTAATCACAATGACCAACTGTCCTAGTACTGTCAGGCGCACCAAGCTATAATTGGCTGCTTGTTTTTGAGCGGATGTACTGACCTGAGGACAGTTATTCTCTTAAATCACACAGAAGTCACATGACCGCGCCGACTATGTTTGACTGGAAATAAATTGGAAATTGATCAGATTAATACGGATTTTTAACGGGATGTACACACACTTCCCGCATGGCTCAAAAAAAGCTACAAACAACTTTTCTAAGCCCGGCTAAGAATGTTGCATTTACGTGCAAGTCTTTTATCAGTGCATTAAATCAGATGGACGTTTCCGCACATGGCAGCTCTTTTTAAATCCACCGGAGAGTGTGCGAGTTTGGACGTATCGGATGCAGAGAAGAGGACGTGTCCGGGAGTTCTATATTGTTAAAAGGTCAACACATTCCGTGACGCCCCAACAGTGGGCCCATATCTCTTGGCACGGCCCAGAAACATCCACATAGAAAGCCGGCGGCCAGGGGGACCAGAGAGGGCGCAATCAGAAAGTGCACGCATAGAGAGCGAGTCAAGTCTCAGGGTTGGGGAGGTCGGCCATCCAGACTGAAATGAGCTTAATGGGACATAAAATGTGTCCTCGAGGTGAACTCGGCCATCTCCCACTTCGGCCCCCAAACTTCAATAAAGTACCTTTTCAGCCTCCCGACATGGAGGCGACAGGGCCCAGAAAGGAATTGGAGGGATGCTGCGACTGCGGCGAGCACATTAATTTCTCTAATCTGTCCAGCAACATAAAGGCTCCTGGATTCATTTTTCAGCGCCGTCTCACCATTAGTGCCTCTCCAAAAGCCCCGTCCAAAAAGCAGATGGCAACCGCTGTGGTGGAGTTAAAGGGCTTTATTTCAAAGTCCATTTAAACTCTCACGTTTGGAAATAATGCTTGTGGATACGGCTTGGTACATAATATTTTGTAAGATCAAAAAAGATCAGAACAGAACGCATGGCTCTCCAGTGAAAGATTGATGATGGAGAATACCTCTTCCCTTTGTGCTCTTTTGCCCCCCACTACGAGAGGCATTTTATGAGGCCTATTCATGTCACAATTCAATAATCTATCAAATTCTTGCGCGTCTTTGGGTTTAAGTCATGTCTACACTAAAACCAGTCCCATGAAAAAGAAGGAAAAGAAACCCTAAACAAAATGAATGCATCTTTGTAAAAAAAAAGAAGAGAGATCTCAAGTCAGGTCGGTTGAGAGGTGCAGTTGTATCAGTCCACCATGTGTGTTAACAGTCCTGTCGGTCCACCGGCCTGGGCGATGACGTTGCAGTCAGACGCACCGCACTACAAAACAATTGTAGTTGTTGTTGTTGAATTCTCACGAGCTGCTGCACACTCAGGAGGCAAATCAGCCACTGGGGAGACAGCAGGTAAATATGGCAAAGTGTTTATAGAAGCACAAACCGAGCGTGAACCGACCAGAAACCATCAGCATTGATTTCTTTTAACCAAATGCACTTCAACAGAGCCTGATAACAAAGGTCAGTTAATTTACTCCACAACCACACGACGCGTTATAGAATCTATCTGCATCTTCAAGACTTTATTGTATTCATTTTTTTATTTCTGTACATTTGAAAACTGCATGGCGCAGTGGACTGCAGGGAAAAAAGCAGGGAAAATACCAGGTTACAAAATGAATAGGAATATTTTCACAACGATGTGTAATCTAACAAATGCCCTCTTAAACTGAAAGCATGCAGCTTTGTGTTCAAGTCAGAACGAAAGAGCACTGCCCCCCCCCCCCCCACACACACACACACACACACCCAACACACACACACACACACACACGCGCGCAGACACACCACACGCACACAAAACACGTGCAGTCTGTGCACGTTGCTGAAGACGCAAGAATGAGCTGCAGGATTTACAATCACAATTTTAAATTAAAACACAGTGCTTGTTTCCCTCATGAAATGTTCAAGTACACATCTGTACACTTTTTAAGGTGATCCTCCAAAAAGAGCCCTAAAACTAAGCAGAACTCACCTAGGCTACAATGGAGGTTTGACCAAACGTATATAAAACTAGTTAACACTCACTATTTTATTGACCAACATGATTAGCACAACACTACACTCCGTTTATTGCATTTCACAATAATCTGCGGTTTAACGGTCTAAACACAACATTAACACCACAAAACTAAATTGTAAATCAAAATCCTGTTTCTGAAATACACGAGGTAATTCACACACGGTTATTGTCCAAAACAATACAAGTTCAAGATCAATGGTATGTTCCAGCTTTTTTTTTTATACCAAAAATAACTATTATTATATTGACTTCCTTCCAGTGTTGTTTGAAATAAATAGATTGTGCATTTCACCTTGGGCACCAGGGCAAAAGAATGGCCCACAATAACATTTTGATAAAACGTATATTTTTTTCTACAATTATTTTCCTTCATTCAAAACATTTTTTAATAAAAAACATCATCTTAATTGAGCTTCAAATAAATTAAACCCTGTGTCACGTAAAAATTATTCGCAGTATTCGCAATAATCCATGCTATATAACATGCATTTTATATAACTTTGGAGTTAAAGGAAACTGCACAAGATAGCTACGAAAACAAAATATATAATTGTTCTATAAATAACCAGTCCTTTTCTCCTCCGTGCGTGGTTTTATAACCTGGTAATATCCTCGGCATGCTGTGCTCCGGTGAGTTCGTCGGGGGCCCCAGTGTTAGTGGCCGAGGCAGCGGCCACGGCGCCGGCTGCCGAGCTTGTGTTGGACCCGGAGGAGGAAGAGGATCTCACTTTGGTGTTCGGCAGCCTGTGATCCTTTTTCCATTTCATCCTGCGGTTTTGAAACCAGATTTTAATCTGTCGCTCGGAGAGAACCAGGGTGTGGGCGATCTCGATGCGCCTCCGCCGAGTTAAATATCGGTTATAGTGGAATTCCTTCTCCAATTCTAAGACTTGCTGCCGCGTGTAGGCTGTCCTAGACCGCTTGGGCTCCGTCCCATTGTAACCCGGGTTCACTGGAAATAGGATAAGTGGAGAGAAAGGGAGACGGGGAAGGGAGGAAAGGAGGGGTAAACAAGAATGGCCTCGACTGAGATATGGCTGGAAAGATTTATTGGATATGAATGTTTAGCTGTTTGAGAAATTTAAATGGGAAGTTAAGAACTTCTCAGGGTAATGAGAGGACACTCACATCCAACTATGACCTAAATTATTAATGCAAGATTACAAAGCTCGATTTTTTTTTTCGTATTCATTTCTCCCCCTCTCACCATCGCGCAATACATAACAGCAGAAGCCACATGGTGATACGGCTGCCCTGAGTATACCTCGGCTATAAAATTTATGGCGGGTGTAATTACCAAAGCCGAGTCGTAAATCCGCCTCAATTGTGCCATTTCAAAGGCTTCCCAGCTATCGGAGCAGGGGCTGGCGACGAGATGGGAGTCAGAGGGACTGATAAAGGGAGGGAAAGGGGGAGAGGAGCACAGGGAGTGCAGGGAACACGAACACACAAGTTGCCTACCAGTGCTGACATGAATTTTCTTCATCCACGGGTACACCACGGGCTGCTTGGAGGAGGCTGTGCTGTTTGGATGCTCCGGGGTAGCTTGGTTGCAGGCGGAGGTTGCGGCCGGTGGGGTAGCGGGGGACATGGACAACTGTGGGGTTTCACATGAAGCTGGTTGCCCTTTCCCTGTCAGCAGGTGCGCAGAATGGGGTACTCCATGTCCCCTTGGCGTGTCGGGTTCGGGGATGCTTGCACAGTTATACTGGCGCTCTTGGTAGCTCGCCCGCGGAGGATATAACTCCTGGTGGTGATGCTGGAAGCCAGTCTCCCTTGCGCGGCTGTAATATTCGGGACTATGCTCGGGGATGTAGTTATTTTGCGAATATTCCTCGCATGGAGGAAATTTCGGATCAATGTAGTTAGACTCCATCAAATACGAGCTCATGATCATTAATTTCTGGAGTGGAAAATAATTTTTCTAGCTTTGTCGTTTTTCTGCTCCATAAAGCCCTCCTACTTGCAAGCAGCCCTGTAAAGTTACTTTTACCACGTGACCCAATGGCCCAATAGAAGAGTGAGAGGTAGTTCCCGGATATGGAACCAGAGGTATTTAGCATACCTACAGTCGCCATTGTGGGCACAAATCTCTCCCTCCCTTTCCCACTCTCTTCCCCTTCCCCTCTCTCTCTCTCTCTCTCTCTCTCTCTCTCTCTCTCTCTCTCTCTCTCTCTCTCTCTCTCTCTAGTTGTGTTACCAAGGCAATTGATCTTGGGGACAAAACTAGTAGCTATTGTTGCTGACCAAGGAAAAAATAAAACACGCAAAATCTTCTCTTCTCGATTATTCAATGGGACAATAGGTGATTTGCAATCGGGATATGATACGACAATAGCAAACCAATCATTGTGTTAGCCTATACGCGCTTTTATAAAGGTTAGCTGCTTATTAATGAAGGCAGAGTACTAACTGCACTTCAAATGTGATACTGATTACAATCCATTAACACACTTAAGATTTATCCTGTTTTGTAAAATTGATATTGTTGAGGGCATTTCAGCACAAATACTTAATACATTTGTTGTGAATCTAAATGTCAGAGACGACTGGAGTGTTGAGATGCTGTGGGGGTGTGGTTGATTTCTGAAAGTAGGCTTGATCATTTATATTGATGGAGAAAGGTGGACAGGCTGCTGAAACAAAAACCGTCATGCATTGATGAGATATTTGTCTATTGTAAAATGATATCCTCTTACTTCTATCAATTAAAAGGCCCGGCGTTCAACTTTTAACTGAAAATTGGTCAGGATAATATTTAAACTGGATCTCATTGAAACAATCATGAGAAAAGCTGCCTTTGGAAATCTGCTTGGACAAAGGGGGATTTACAAAAGAAAGATAGATGATACAAAAGGTAATGATGTTTCTATTGCTTAGAGTTTACATTTAAAGTAAATAATTATGCAATATACAATAGGCATTCACTTGAAAAACTGGACATTGAAAATAGAACCTGGTGGCACAATTAAGGACCAGAAAATATTGGAGCAGCTAACAGACCAAAGTCTGAAATCTGAGAAGTTGCAGACCAGCCTCCCCTGTGGTGTCACAAACTGTACAACTGCAGCAGAGCATCATCATCGTGACATCACAAACCAGACATTGTGGGAACACAACCAGCATGATGTCACAGACCAGAGCGTCTCAAAAACTCATGGCCTGCTGACTTTAATGCAGAGCAGTTCTATCGCTTCACAGAGAACTTTCCATGAGTTGTACATGAAGTGCAGTTCTGCTCACACACAAAATCAATTCAACTGAATTCATGATAACATGTTTCACTATGGCTTCGTGCTGCCCTTGACTCCATCATGTCGTGCCCCGCTGCTCCAACAATATTGAGAAGTAATTATCTTTTACTTGCTGCATTGGGACTTCTGTTATGAACTTATATAAAACCATGATAGAAAGCATCTGAATGTTTACAATCTATTTTCATGAAAGAAAAGGCTGGAGAAGATTTGGAATAATGCAGTATTTCTTTATATAAATACAACCGATATGTTTACAAGATCCATACATATTTTATTTTCCTTTAAACTCAGCTCATTGCCAAAACAATATAAACCCTATATATCAGTGTTGCTGCCTCCAAATGTTACATGCTATTTTCGTCTGAAGCACTGAACATCAGCCACATTATTGAAGGTCTGCGGCTGTAGTGTAAACTGATCCTGCCTGGCTATGTAAACTTGTCATGTGCTGCATGCTTCCAGTTCCTATCTCTGAGTCAGCTGTGGTCAAAGAGAGACTGAGTTAACTCCCCAATACCTCAGCAGCGTCCAGACTGAAGATACATATTCCTATTTTATCATTTTGATATAGCCATTGTCATATACAGACAAAAGTATTATAATAATAACAACAATGCTAATAAAAATGTCAGAGGCTCCTTAAAGAAACATTAAGCCCGAACAAACATACAACACAAGGCAATCTATGGGTGCAGCAAATTGCAAAGTAACTGATAAATCTATTTTCGCAGCAATAATTACATAAAATGGTTAAAAAACGAGACACGGCATGGTCTTTCTGGCTGTAATGTTTGTACACAATGCTCACGAGATTTCTATTACCATTTGCGAGAATGTTAGAGGCGTTTTATAGAGCAATAAAAGGCGTAAATCAGTCACTTTTGAACGACCGCTGGTTCCAAACGCGTTTTACGGGGGTCTGACACAGTAGCCGCACAATGTCCACACATGGGTTTGCTCTCCCTTTGCCTACACAATCTACGGCTGTCTGGACTATGAATACACATTGTGACATTGTTATTGCGTTGCTGCCTGGATGTTGGCTGTGTATATCACAGATGTTTGTACATGCAATAGCGTTGGGAGAGAAAAAAGACGGAGCGGGAGCAGAAGAGTCCGTCGGCCGGCGTGGTATTTCAGTCGCCCATGTATTCCTGCAGAGACCTATTTGCGACTGTTTGTATTTCACACAAATTCGGTTCTACAGGGTACATATAGACAACTAATGCGTGTTTGGGTTAGAAACTGCAGAGGGGATCTCCCAGCATCCGTCTGAAGAAGTACACATTTGTCACAGCGAGTCAGGACGAATAGGAGGCTGTGCTGCACAACACGAGGCTCCGTTCGTCACGGAGACAAATCAATGTGCTCCATACTCCTAAAGAGGATTTGACTTCATCAAGTTTTCTAAAATAAACTGAAATGCGCGTATATAACCTCTCACACACTAACGCGTCACGTGCAAAGGACAAGAGGGTCTCTTTTCTTTACATTCACCCTCCGCCTTTTGAGGTAGCTCACATATGAATATTCAGTCACAAACACGGAGGTTACAAAGGGACGGCGTGACAGCGCAGATGAAAAATAAGTTTCCATTGTTCCCAACCATTTCTTCTTCTTGCTATTACCATACTGACCGCTCGGTAACCTTTCCCTCCTGCCACTCTGGAAGCTAATGAGAAAAGCCTCGGATGAAAAATGAAATATCAGACATGTGACCTATTTCGGAGTTATTAAAAAACAGCAAACATGCTCATGTTATGAATCGATTGAATTGATTACAGTGGAAATGCACAAGGGATTTCCAAAACGGACAAAAAAAACATCTAAATCTACAGCTTTTCCACCCCGCGCTTACTATGTTCATCAATTTGGTCACGTTTTGCATTGCGGGAACAAAGCATCGTGCGCAAACAAGCAGTGAACTGATGAGGAACCACAACCAACACCTAACTCACTCGTTAATTTGGCTTCCTCGCATGCTCATCTAAATATAAGCACTTTGTCGTGCACCCATGTGACAGTGCTGCACGCACGCCCAAAACTATGTGCTCTGGCGGACGCATTTTAATATTAGTTAGACGCCCTGACCCGCGTTTCACCCCTCGCGTTTGACTGATTCCAATAGTTCACTGCCAAGGATTATTGATGGAGGGAGAGCAATGAATTCTTTCTCCCGCAAATGGCTTTCAGATCGTGCACCTAGTTCAATAACTAGTTATAATATAGAAGTACAAAAAATGGGACCCTCCGGCGGACTAATTTGATGTTTCATTTGTTCATTTGAGAAATTGTGAATTGCCCCCATCCAAACGCGCCCCCTGCAAAATGGCACAACAGCACGAGCGTGTTCACACATGTGCATATGTAAACAAAATACGTCTGTGCAAAACTATGTGGAGGGTTTGGTTGTGTCCATACAGGGCATGCTTTTTTTTTTTGGTGGCCAAGCATGCAGCACCTGACATGCAGACAGTGCAGTACTTGATAATAATGGTTAGGTTGCGCTTTTAATCAAATCCTTAACCTAATAGCCTTCGCACGTTTCATCTCCTTAGGTGTAATAACGTTTAGCGGATCGTCAGTTGAAATAAAAAGTTTTAATGAAGTGAAGACAAACTGGAGACTAGTTTGATATGAATAACCTCTAACAGCAGTAGCCAAAGGAGCAGAGTGGGTTTCATATACCAGATGACAAAAAAAGAAACAATTGGTTGGTCTGCAATTCATTATGGCGACGGTGTGGTTCTTTGGACTAATGCAGCGTTAATCCAGTCCGCATGTGCAACAAGGGAGCAAGTTTTCTGAGTATTACCTCTACAAAACGGGTAGTCGTTTCTTGTTTGCAAATGAAAGTGAAAAGAGTGTGATTGTTAAACGGTGAAACACCAGTTGGTCAGGAGAGAGGCCTCGGGGCCCGTGATGTCAGTGCAGCCAGCTGTTTGCCTCACAGCCAAATGAGCGGCTCCAAGATGTGCCACATCTCCTGACTAAAGCCAGGTGGAAAGGCGCGGGGCGGTGGATGACACTTACCGATAAATCCACGGTCCCACTCATTTTGACCCGACGGACCGTCTGAAAAAAGGAGACAACGAAAATGAATTGAAGAACAGTCCATTCTTGAGTTAAGCAAATTAATTAATTAATTAAAAGTATAATACTTGACTAAGTTGATAACATTCTACACGATGTTTAATTATTTATTCCAATTACCGTGTATTATATGAATGAATTGACCCCTTGCTGGATAACTGAGTAAATAATGTGTCACATAGTCAGGCGAATAAATTAATTGCTGCATTGTGTGTAACCTATTTCGTTTAGGCCAAAATTAAAATGACCACAAAATCATAACAATAACAATCAATTAAAATTATTTCAAAATAAATATGAGCAACATATTCTGTTAAAAAAGTCAAAAAGCTGCTTGTTTAATTCCAGACGAAACAGTTTTCCCATAAATGTCGTAAACTTTGTGTTTTGATATGTTGGGGTATTATTTCATCTTAAGGGGGCAGTTTTTTTCTCTCCGCGTCTGAACTTCTCTGTTTGGCCTAATTGAAGGGAGGGTGCCCTAGAAAAGTGTTGACATCCTTGGGCTCCTGCAAAACTGGCCCAGGACAGAGAAATTTAGGACGGGTCATTTTCATAGCGTACAAAATAAATTTACAAGCATTATGATATTTCCTTGGCAAACGTTCTATAAATAGAAATCCTTGGACTCCGGCGCGGCTGAATTATGGCGAACAGCGAGAAAAAGAATCACGACGTTGTCTTCCCATTGTAAATACATCTGGCTGTGCTCGAAACACACCTAATGAGACGCTATGGTTCTTATTCGGACTCAGACAATGGAAAGCCTGTGCTCACCCGGAAATGACCTTGGCGGATTGAAGGATGACAGTGTCAGCTCCACAGGTTAAAGAAAATAATGCAAAAGCACAGAACATGACAGGGAAAACGGATGTTTAGACTTTCACTTTTACCGAGTGGTATCAGAATATTTTAAGCCTGGATGACTTTAATATAAATAACACACGTGATTCAAGCTTCCTCTCAAGATGTAATGGATGAAAAGTACTGAGAATGTCATTTTGATTACACTAAGAGACCCGTGTCCTCTATGAAGATGCCTTTATCACGCATTAAATTCATGTTTGATACATTCGGGATCAGCAAATGTTTAATTTTGTTTTTGAAGGAAATAAATGTTGTACTTTGGGTTCTTTCTTTATTTCAGTTTGAGGGCTGATGTTGTTTATTGCATCCATGTGATAACAGTAAACATGACAATATAACGGCTCAAAACCAGCACAAGAACAAATAAAATCATAAAAAGAGCACTAATGCCCTTACGCGTATTGCCCTCAGAGTGAATCACCCACTCGGGAGAGTGTTACACAGTGCCCCCTATTGGGAGTGTGTAATTGATCATCTGAACACAAAAAGACAAAAAGTGATGGTGTTGTCAACGGAACTTGGACCTTGAAAACTTATGATGGTTTTGAGAGAATATCCATCCATTTCTGTTGTATATATATATATATATATGTATATATATATATATGGTGCTGCATCACGCACAACCTTGCTGCACCTTTCTCTGTCAACTGGGCTGCACTCAGCCCAAAATATCCTTAATTTCAAAATGAATTTGCAAACCATTGATCAGGAAGCACCATGTAGTATTTCTCAAATGAACTGCTTTCTAAGACACACGGGCAATTAAATAATGTGCCCCACCGAGCAACAGAAAAGGATCGAGCTAATAAGATCAACATCGTCTCATCACTCTCCAAACTGATCAAGCCACTAAAATTCAGCCCCTTGTAGTGAGGACAAGTCTTTAGGGAACGAGGGTGGAAAACCAAACATTCCTCTATTAACAACGGCACTGTTTTGTTAAACATGCGACACGTCCCTCACAGTTTTTTTACAAGCTCTGATTTTGGACCCGGTATTACACTACAGACCTGTCTGTTGGCCTGGTAGTGACCCTGAAACAACAGGAGCCCACGAAGATAAACGCTAACCCCGTGTTAAGGTGACACAGGTTAGGCATTTTAATAAGGAGGGATTGTATTTTATGGTGCCTTATTTCAAACTAAAAAACAACATTTTAGCATAACAGAACAAAAGAGGATTATTTTTTAGTTACACAATCTGAATGAAAACTTGACCATTAATAATTAAACAAAAATACATAATGTTTGTACGGAGTGGAGGGAGAGTGTGCGGTGGATGGTGAAGTTAAGTTAATGAATGACATTTTGATGGTTCTGGATGACTTTTATATATTTTTTCTTATTGTATTTTTTTATCCTGTTAAAGACGGGATTATGTAAAGAAAACTGTTTTACCACAATCTACCAAATGTGGTGAGACGCAAAGATCGTCTTCTTTGCTTTTGCTTTTATCTTGTAAGATTAAAATCTCCCAGTGCAAATATCAAAACTGTGAAAATACAATAACTACCATGACAACCAAATAACCGTAAGCAATAATGTTTCTATCGGACTAAATATGCAACACACACGAAAGACAATAATAATTCATTTAAAAAAAAATCATTTTTCCGATGCGTGAAAAAGCTTATTTCTGTCATTGTAAAAATGCATATTAACCCTCAATTAGTATCGTCCACATCGAAGTTCGTCAATTTCACATTCACGCATGCAAAGTCACGCTAATATAAACAGGCAGAATCTATTTTGTTCACGGGAAAGTAATCTTACAGTCACAGGCCTGTATAAGTTAAAACAACTTACTGCATTAGCTCTCTGTGCTCCGCACCACCGACTACACAGTCCGGATAAAAGGTACTGCATCCTCACTGCCACAAAGCCCTTTCTTCCTCAGATAAGGGGAACCCAGCAGCTGCGATTCCGGACAGTTAAGATTATATATGATGTGTATATATCGAAGGTTTGTCAGCTCTTCCAGGCCATAAAACCCACTTAAATGACACCACGTGCTTCCTGTGCACCATTCACAGTCCCTGCTTGGGGCAATTGGCATATGTAACCTTGTAAACTTTAAAATACCCTAAAAGAAAGACATTCAAACAGGGATTCAATACATTGTCCACGTATGTTAGGCCCAACAGAGCGCAGAGAAAGTGGCTGCGGAGCTGACCGGCTCTCATAACCGTCAAGGGAGTTAAATAGGGAGCTATTAGTTTGAGAGGTGAGTTGATTTTTATTTTATTTAATATAGAAATTAGCTCATAGCCTTCGATTATGCTGTGTCCTTCTATTACACCTACACTCAGCATCTGTCATCATCCGATGTCCTCTATACTAGCAGGTCGTGATGTTTTAACGAAAGTGCAAGAGCATATTGATACAATAAAGTGACTGTCAGGTCTTTAGCAGCGATGGCGCGTCAGTCTACGGCCACAGGAAACCAGCGTTTGGCGTGTCGGGTCGCGAGGGCAAGTGTTATCACAGGCCAGCGTGTCCCTTCCTTCGCTGACTAAACAGGAAAAGCGAGTTTGCCTGTGGAGCAGCGTTGGAAAAGGGGCAATAAAGTTTTATGGGGGCCTTTAACCAGAGCGCGTTTGTTGGTCAACGGAATTCTGTGGATTCCGAGAGATCCCCCCCCCCCCCTGAACGTGATGAGTAAAGTACAACGAAAGAAAGAAAATCGGAAGTTTTTTTTAGTGTATTCGTCTAATCAACGTAGCCTGTTATAAGAAAATATATATACGTAGAAATAAATGGAGAAATCCTTTATGTTAGTGACGAGACTTTATTGGTTATAACGGACAATTAAGCCACCTATCAGTTGTTCTGGGCCTCTTGTAAAGCAGCCACCTTTACAGAGCGCGAGAGAAATGGCTTCATTGCACATCACAATATTTTCACACGCAGTCGCTGAATTACACAATACGATTTAGGTTCACAATGATATGACGGACAACAGGGGTGGTGCCTTCACGGAGACATTAGCTCATTGGACATACAACACATTCAACCACTGCGATATATTAGAGGGTGGATTAAAAAAGAAAATGAAAAAGGTGGAAGAGGGTGTCTTTGACCGGTGGGAAAATCTCACTGTTGCTCACAGCGCAGTGAGTATTTCTGTCTTTATTTTGAGTTGTTGACATACATTTTTTATCAGATGATGTGGAGACAGAGTTGGAAATGTCGCACGCTATCAGACCGCCTCCACCGTCGTCATCCAAATTAAGAACGCTGAGCATTGTGCAGACTTGCAGCGCAGTGCAGAATTGGGCGACCCCCCCAACCTCTTGTCCTCTTCGTGCAGCAAAGTGAGGTTATCATCGCATGGGCACCAAATTCATTTAGAAATGTAAACCGATTGATCAACGTGAGGGATATTCAATACGTTAGGTCCCAAACCGCAGCAAGTGACACATAATTGGTGATGAAGCGCACGGCGCGGTGTCATGATGTCATTGCTCCTAGCAGTTCATCCGGAGGTCAGGCGGCACTCCAGCACTGTTGCAGCGAGGGGATGAAAACGTGCTGCATGCACCCACCCTCTGGTCCCCTTTTATTCCTTCACTTTGACCTTTGAGTCCTTCTTCCACTTCATTCGTCTGTTCTGGAACCAGATTTTGATCTGCCTCTCGTTTAGACACAGGGTGTGGGCGATCTCTACGCGCCTGCGGCGGCTCAGGTAGCGGTTGAAGTGAAACTCTTTCTCCAGCTCCAGAGTCTGGTAGCGGGTGTAACTGGTCCTGGAACGTTTACCCTCCGATTCTGAAGTGGCATTAAAATCAGTTAGCTTTCAGCAGCATTATAGTGGTGAATACATATACTACTATGGGATAATACTATTATGACATTTGCATAAAGATTGGTCATCCATAAAATAATAGTTACAAGCATACATATAATATACAATTGTTGAATTGAATTAATGAAATACCCTTCCTCATGCAAAAGGTAAAATATCTTAATACAACCAAATTTAATCAGATTTGACTTACAGTGGATTTGTGTAATAAAAATGATGTCAGGCTGATAAAGATAGTGTAATAAATTTACATTACATTCTTTCACATACAACATGTAAAATACAGTCACCAAACGCTTCTCATTGTAATACGTGAGACTGGATAACTAACAGGGCCTAATGTGGTGTCCTTCCTGTAGAGACTGACCTCAGCCTGCTGCTGCAGTGGAAGGAAAAACAATGTGAATAATCTAAAGGAAAAGGGATCAGAACATTAAACCGGATTTTTTTCCCCCATGGTTTGTTCTCATATATATGTATATATTTATACACATGTTTCATATTTAGCCAAACATTAAGGCGTGCTAAGCAACAGGCCGTAGTTGCTATTGGACTTGAATATCTTAAACTGCTCCAGGATGTTGGCAAATGGAGGAACGCAAAACAGAAGTAGCTTCCTTTTTTTGCAGCAATTGTGCTCACCGTCCATCTGGCCCCTAAATAGTCAACCAGTGGGTTTAAGGCGAGGGGAAGGAGCACGACTATTCAAATATTTTAGAGGTGAAAAGTTCACGATTGGGTCAGGGCATTGATGTCTCCCAGAGTTCAATTTAAGGCTAAAGCCGCTCCCACACAGTGAGTCTGATAATGTAAAACATTAACTGCGACTATAAAGTGTGCAAGGCAAAAACTAATACTAAGAGCTGAATTTGTGAATATTATTTCATAGTTTTATCACAATTCTCTTCTCTTATCCAATTATACCACCATAAATCACCCCGCAGATCACCCCTTCGCCGTAACAGAGCAGGTTTACGAGCAATGGATGCCTTTGTCATAAAATTTATGACCACGAGTTTTTATTATTTCCTGCGTTTGGCCTATAAAACTCAAGAGGAAAACCGGAACGGGCAAAAAGAAGTGTAGCAGCGCAAAGAGAGACTAAGGGGAAGCATTTTAGTCACACTTTAGGAAGAAAAAAAAGGGGGCAAACTTTACCGTGGCTCATGTGCAGTTTTGTCATCCATGGATAAATCTGTGGCTGCTGCTCGCTGTCCTGAAGCTGGCTCGCACTCGCGCTGTGTCGTTTCACCGCCTGCGCGTTCACCGCGTCCCTCTCGCCCTCTTGGCTCTGGTTTCCGCCGGATTTCGCGCCCCTCTCCGCGTCTCCTTGTGCCCCGAGTCCCAGCAGCGTGCCGCCGCCGTAGCCGAAGGCGCTCGCGTTCTCCGACGAGCTGCCGGAGACCATGGTTATCTGTGGTCCCGGCGGCAGAGGAGTATCCGCGTTGCCACGCAGGCTACTTTTCACCTCCTCCCGTTCGGCGGAGGTCGTGGGGACGGGACAAGTAAATATCCCGCTCACATTGACACCCTCAAAGCGGCTGGACGCGCGCCCGGAAAGATCGAAACTAAACATTGTGTTGGGAGAAGTTGTCTCGCTTGTTTGCCTGAGATTGCAGCTGTCAACATACGAGCTCATTTTCAACAATCAGCGATACTTTCTTTTTTAAGCTGCAGCGGGCTGCGGGCTGGTTGTTGCGCTTATTTCCTTGTTTTTGTTGATCATTGCGTTTCTTTGTAGCCGCTTTTGAAAAATGCAAAGCTGTCTGCCTTAAAAAAATATTCCAGGATTTATAGGTGGAGTAGGCTTTGGTATCTTTTTTTAATTCTTGATCCGACGCGCGCTGCCCAAATATGGGGTATTTGTATGGGATCACGTGCGCATGTTGGCCAGTCATAAATTGGCGTTGATACTCTCATTGATGAATTGGAGAAACGTGTCCGGTAAACTTTGAGCTGTTGGTTGTTGAGGACCAGGCAGGGATCTTTAGCGCAAAAAAAAGGGCAGGACAGTAAGACAAGAGCGTCATCTGGTGTCTGGTATGGGGCAGGACGGCCAGCAGCGTCCACAGCGCTCTGGCCCGGACAAACAAACAACCCCATATTATAGCATAATTATTATAATTATAAGAATAGTAATACCACTACTGATGATAATAATAATAATTATTATTATTATAGTTATGCTGCTGATTAGACGCGCTCACTTCATTTGAACATATTCACACATATGCACGTGAGACTTGAATGTTTTGGACGTTAAGTTATAGAAACAGAGCTATGTGAACGCGTTTAGGACAATAGATCATTCCCATGCTCTTATGCAGCATGGCAAGTTAGATTTGTAATCGTTAAAACGCATAGCGTGTAAAATATCTCTTTATTAGCTTATTCGTCTCTTAGCTTTATACCCTATTTTGGCCGTTATGGTCACGATACACATAACATGTCAAACAAGTTTTCACAATCGCCGTACTCAGGTTGTTGCCTAATTCAATACATCTTACTTTATACGATCATTTGACTCGACGTGATGCTCCCTGAAGCACAAGACGAGGGTGAGATTTTTGCAAACACTTTATTACATGATACACAATTATGACAAAACATGAAATCGTAACTCCCAAACAGAAGCGAATAATTACTAGTGTACAAATCTGCTTAGCAGTGAGAGCCCGTGGTGTCAAATGCTAAACAAAAAGGGGGGCCAAGCGCAGTTGTATTTTATGCAGTGTCGACCCAAGCGGCTAAATGCGCAGACGTCCTTACGGGATTTACATAGCATATTGTTACTTTACTTATTTACAGGCATTACAGCTGTTGGTGCGTGGACTGTGGTCTGAGTCCGTGCAAGTTTCATGTTTGTGCAGGACACTTTTTGGCAAATGATTCAACTAGGCCTACTACAATACTGAGGTGAAATGCAGTGCCCGCCCGTCCTTCCGTTTCCTCGGTGGAATGTGCATGTACAACATTGAGTTAAGTCTGACCAACAATGTATTTGGTGAGGTGATCAAAGAGTTCACAGTGATGGATGGGGTGTGGGGGGATAAATACACAGATTTTACTGGCATGAAAAATCACGTAGAAATGAATACTTATTTTTATTTTCACAATACAAGTGTGACATTGCAATAAAACAGAATCGGCACCCCGAGAGTCACAGGGGGACAATCTCTGTCTGAAATAATCTGGATTTCTAAGGCTCAACACTCCTGTCGTCAATATGGGATATAAGTGGGAGAGCTGCGGTAGTCATCATGCAGTGAAGTCGCTCTTAAATCCATACAGATTTTTTAGGTAGTTATGTTGGGTTTAAATGGTCATCAGGTCTTCTCCCCTTTGGGTTTTTTTCTTTTTACGCTATTCTTTTTTCTTGTCCTCCTCTTTCTGTTCTTCAATTGCGCCATTGCTTTCCTCCTCCGGCGAGGCTCCTGTCTGTTCACTTCCAGTCACCGTGGAGGTCAGGTTGCTCTCTTTCTTCCATTTCATACGTCGGTTCTGAAACCAGATTTTGATCTGGCGCTCCGTCAAACAAAGCGCGTTTGCGATTTCGATGCGTCTGCGCCGGGTCAGGTAGCGGTTGAAATGAAACTCCTTCTCCAGCTCAAGTGTTTGGTAGCGAGAGTATATTTGACGTCCTCTGCGTCTGTCTGTCCCGTAGCCCACTCCTGCTGAAATACAAAGTGAAGTCACTAATTGAATCGCTTGGAAAGCGAAGTCATATTTGACATTTGGAAAACACACACGCATCGGTCTGCGCTCTAATAACACTTTGCAGCAGTTGAGAACAAGTTTTACCTCATTGTTAGAATCATAAACCGTATAGAAATCCACGAACACAAATCATCTAATTCTAAGAGCAATCAAAGCCTTTCTCTAAGGGCATCTTAGCTTTATTATAAAAATAATTAATAAAAAAAATACAACGCATTCCCCGCGTCTCTTGCTGCTGGTTATGGCTACTATATCTTTCTTAATATGAAAGCTGTTTGTTTGCACACGTAAAGGCCCATCCACAAGTCAAGGGGATACAGTAATGTTTTATGGGGCCATAAAAAGCAACTTACTCTCTTGGTAAGACATATCGTAAAACTGGCCCATTTCCTTAATTTATTTGTCGTAGTAAAACTCACCGCTGTGTGAGTTCATTCGCTGCATCCACGGGTAAATCGGGATGTTGGTTTTCTGATCCTGCGCTCCTGCTCTTCCTTGGTCCAAACTGTACTCTTGAGCAATGTGGCTTTGTGTACTGAGTCCCATGTTTGTTTGTCTGCAGCTGGGGAGCACGTCCTTGTCTTGAAGAAACACGTTTGATCCGTATTCGTACTGTGCCCTGCCAGACCCAAACACGACATTGTCTTGGGGAGAGTAGAACGGTGCATATATCCGATTCTGGGTCACGGCAGCGCCGTACGACGAAAAATGTCTGACTGTGTCATAGGTGGTGGAGTTTAGGGGTACGTTGGGCAAAACGTCTTGACCACCGGACAAATGGCAGGAGAGCGACGGGTTTGCGAAATACGAATTCATACCTTGCCTTGTAACCCTCTCTCCAACTCTCCCCACTTCTTTATCGGTCGCTCTTCAATCTCGTTCTCAGTAAATCTCCTCCGCGTCTGTGTCAACCAACCACACCTTTCTCCAAGGTCTTCTTTTTTTCCCTCGACTTTCTTGCTTCTCCAACTGGACGTGGGCTACTTTGAGGGTTCGATATTATTAATTTCCAATCTCCGGTTAAGACGCACAAACCCGAGTGTTATAGCCGAGGCTTGGCTCGGTGAGAGACAATATGACAACGTCAGCTGACCATTCTCCGCCAATCGAAAGGCAGGAGTTGAGGAGAAACTGTAGCTTTTAGCTCAGCGCTTGGACATTACTGCTAAATGCCGATAAACACACCATGAGAGTTGGAGAGGCGCACTATAAGCCTGGCTGGATGAGACATGTTTTACTTTAGTTTCACAGCATGTGGGGTTTGGGAGTGAAGTATGATATGAGACGTGGGCAATGTCACTCGGTACAGTGATCACATTCAAACCAAGCCGAAACATTTGCATTAAAAATACATACAACAAATACAGAGGCGGTAGAGAGTGCGTGGAATCATCAAACCAATTGAGCGAAAGAGAAAGAAAATACATTTTCTGTCAGTTTGAGGGTGAGGATTTTGTATGCGTGTGTCTTTTCCCCCCAAAAACACAGTTTTATAATCAAAACACCACTGGGTCGGTGGATTGCTCGGCACCTTTGAATCAGGACTAAATTAATATTTGCATTTCTTTTTGTTAGTCTCAGCCATATCGACCGCTTCCAGCATACTGTTAATGTTTCCATTGTGTAGGAATTAGCATCTGAGCAATTTGAAGGCTTTTTGCAATGAACTGGGGGAGGGTGTAGGTGGTAAGAATGCGTTTATGGTCTCTCTTCTGTGAGGGCAATAAAAACATTTGACGTTCCCCAGCACACCAACAACTATCTCTGCAGCAAAGCCTTGCAACGCGAGGAGCAATCTCCCCGGCTCCGAAAACAAAGCACTGCCCAGCACGTGGAGGAATAAAGCAAAGGGATAACAGCGCGCATTGACCCAACTGGCTACCATAGAAGCGCGTCCATGGCCACTCTATGAACATCTAATCAGTTATGCGACTGACCAGCGCACGTCAGACAGAAGAAAAAAAAAACTCCGCCGGCCATCAGTGCCCGGTTTTCCTGTTGAGCCACTCAGGTACAATCTCGTTAAATCACAACAAATAGTATGCTTTTAGATTGACGTTGGTCGTTTCCCTCCTGATCACACTTCGACATTCCTCCGTCACACACGGGGAAGGGGAACCAATCATTACCCCAGCAGCAAATTATGGGTTTGGAAATGACTTGAGGTGTTCTGCAAAAATGTAGCAAGTGTTGAGGCGCTGTTCTCAAGCTTAATACGTGCAGCTCATTAAGAATATAAAAGAAAAACAACTTTACTTGCTCTCACTTTTCTGTAATCAATACAATTAAATTACTTTTCGTACAGCTGATAGCAGCGCAGTTTTACGCACGCCTGCATTTTTTTATGGAAAACATAAACGGCCATAAAGAATACAAAAAAAGAAACATATACAATAATTTGAAACAATATATTTCACATTATATTTGCTGTTCACAACAGGCCGTAATCGAAGACAATAATCAATGTAGTAATAGCAAATTTCTGTTGAAACGCAACAACCTATCGGTCCACTTCATCGATTTCTTCAACGCGGTATACTGTTTGGTCTGTTGTTTGGGGTCCCGGAGAGCCCATAAAACAGACAAGAACAAAGAGAAGGAAGTAGCTGGTGCAATAAAAGTTCCCCTTCACCTTATTTGTGGCCATATGTGAGATCCGCGTGGCAAGAATTTTAGGAATAAAACAGCAAAAGTCAAATGCTGCAGTGACCCGCTTTTTCTGTCCTGGAATTTTTCTCCCATTTTCACTTTAATATCAAGTAAAGAATTAGTTGTATGATGGGAAGGAACGTAGCAGGGATACAATACTGGGGGCTCCTATTCAGTATACGTGTGTGTGGGTGTATGTGTGTGTGTGTGTGTGTGTGTGTGTGTGTGTGTGTGTGTGTGTGTGTGTGTGTGTGTGTGTGTGTGTGTGTGTGTGTGTGTGTCTGTGGATATATGTAAGTATGTGTTTTACTAAAACTACTAAAAAATATAGTATATTGACCACATTAATACCCCAATTAAATTAAATTTGAACAAAAGGGGTCTCGATGCCCAAAATGTGAGAAATGTGGGCATGTGCAAGTTACCTCACTGTCAGAAACAGCATGTGCAGCCTTTGTTTCATTAACATTTATATTATTGTCATCATGCTGTTGTTATTATTTCCTTTTTTTTAAAGGAACCGTTAAAATATTAATTTGAAGTCAATATTTTTAAATGATTTGGGTTTTAGACACAAATGTCCTTAACTGTTCTTCACAGCCACCCGCGAAAAAAAAAAGAAAACACGGCGCTCCATAAAGTTTAGGTTGTAAATAAAGGCTGAACACTATAGCCAATGTGTGGACTGCAGAGCCAGGAATGCAGCAGAGCTTGTGTCAGTGTGCAGAATTAGAAAGGTCATTCTATCCCCCGTGTTTTAGTGTTTTATTGCGGCCCGTGAGGCAAATCACGTCCACGGCTTTTGATGCAGAAAGGAAAGGAGCCGTTTGGTCCACGTTTCGACGCTTCTTTAAAGGATCTTAGACCCGGTGTTGAACGAGGGGAGGAAGAATGTCTCAGACAAAAATGATACATGACCTGCCTGCTAATGTAGGCTGCCAACCGTGGATATTAATAATTAGCATTAATAATTAATTATTGAATACTATAGGCTCTTGATTTGTAGTTTGTAGTTATCTATGGTGAATGCGCAATGATGGGCATAGACTAATGGTAATAGATCACGAGCAACACGGCGTCTACTTATTATTTCTATTATTATTTTAATTGCACTTGTCGGGATAGTTACTAAGTATCATGTTGGATCGCTTTTAAATGTGCACTATAATTGGCTGTTCTGCTGAAGGCCCAATTTTAAAAGCCTCCTTCCCTGCAACACAACCGGGGCCCATCCGCGTGCATGAACCTATACATTCTGCTTTACTTTCCTTTACATCAGTATCCGAAGACACAGCATCACTCAGAATTAGCTCTACGGGACCTGTAACATTTCTACATTATCAGCCATGATTAAAAACACAGCGAGGCAGGGAAAGTCTGGTCTGCCCCTGATGCTTTTTTCTTCTCCCCCGCTTCTAACCTTACTAATAAGGAGTAATTCACATACTAACAATGTAAAGCCCTCTATAAGCACTTTACCATCGCTGGCTAGCCCAATTAATGTCCGGAAGTGTTCGACTTTATGCTCGTTAAGCACTCAGGAAGCTGTTGCCCAATGAGCGCATGTTGATCCACACATCATAAATTATGACCATTAGTAGGCAAAATTTTTGCCCTGTCGGGATTTGTAAGTGAGGTTCTAAATGTGGTGATGAGGACAGATTCATGACTTCATGAAGTTTTATGCGAGCCTATCTGTGCTTTTAAAAACACTGCAGGGCAAAACAATAGACTGTGGTTTTCCCTATTATTTTAAACCAAGATTTACCACACAACCCCAAACGTCTCCATTAAATGGCCTCTCTCTCTCTTTCCCCTTTTCTCTCCCTCTCACTGCAGGCAAAGTATCGGGCAGCAGCGGACACGAGCCATTGGAACAGCAATGTTCCATAAGGGGGAAAGAAATGTGTGTAACAGTAGGTTATAAAACTTCAGTGTGAGGCTTTTCCAATAATTGCGTTTGACGAAATTGAAACGCAAAGAGCTCCGAGCTTCAGCAGGGGGGCAGCGACACACGAACTCACCTTATGAGGGATGCTATTTGGGGCTGCAGGGCCCAATTATTATCATGAACATATGCATATGCATTGCATATATATTTAACCAGTTGCATATATTTAACACGTTTTTTGTTTTTTATCTCTCTCTCTCTCTCTCTGTCACAAGCACACCCCCCCCCCCTTACCACACACACACTTGTTTGTATAAAATATAATATATCTATTATACATCTTTATTATATATCATATATATAATAAAGATGGTCTCAGTCCCTGAACCATATCCGAGAATATTTCAAAATGAATCTCTGGTGATTTTGTTTTTTGGAACTGGAGAATAGTTCATTTTGATTTGACACTATCCATGTACACCGTTCAAATATAACTGTGGCCTTGTTGTTATTGTTGTTTGCTAATGGTGTGAATAAAATCGTGCTGCTCATCATTACGTTGTCAGTAATTATGTCACAGTATCTTACAGCAAATCAGAATCCTGTTAGATCAGTAGAAAACGACGAAACAGGCCAATCCCACATCTCCGGCTGACCTCAACAAATTCCTCCCTTTCACAGAAACGCTCCTGGGCGTGAAGCTCGTGCGGTTACTGGCTGGGTCACCTGACATCCGCAGTGAACCGCCGCCGAAAACCAGCAGCCATGAACAACAAGCCTCAAAATTCCTCCCACTTCCACATGCAGCACCTATGATCGCTAGGGGGCACTGCCGGGGTCTCCATTGCGTGTCAGCGTGCACATACCGCGACAAGTGCGCGAGTGTTACGCGTGCGCGCGTGCGTGTTTTCATGCACGTACGTAAAAATTGCCCGCGATAGCCAGGCCCTCGGCCGAGGCTGAATATAATGAGTGACAACACTGCACAAGCACCGTTACCACTGCCTGCAATGGGCCTCGGAGTAACAACAAAGTTTGTTACAAGTAATCTAAACACATCGGCGCAGCATCTCTGAGAGGCTGCGAGCATGTAGGCCACAGCAGCCAGCGGCCACGCGCGCAGGTGCTGCTACAAGTGAGGCACGATGCCTGTCGATCAGCAGCCTCGGGCTACAGGTCAGGTCACACCGAATAGTCAAACTCGTCACTCGCACGCATCGTTTCAACCCAGCAACCACGAACTGATTGCCAAAATATGACATTAAAAAAAACATGGCTTAAGAGGGACAGTGTAATCTTACCCCAGTGGCATCCGTAGTTTGAGGATTTTCTGTGGTCCAACATAGCAGAGGAGGGGTCACGATCGCGAGTTGGAAATATCAACAGAGAGCCCATCTCCCGTGTAACGTCTTCGCATCCCGGCGGCGAGGAGCTCATTTAGTCGGGCTCTTGGCTCGGCGAACGAAAGTATTTTCAGGCAGGCTGGCTGGCTCCTTTTCCTCTCCCAGTCGCGGTTTTATTGCCTCCGGGGGGGGGGGGGGGATAAACGCAGCGGCTCGTGGAGGCGACGACTGTCCCGAAGATCCCTGCTTCAGGGAGTTGAAAATCGGATAAATATCAGCGCCAACATGTCTGCGCAGAATATTATCAAAACAGAGTAAAGAAAGGGACGTTTGTAAGCCCAGCGTAGTCTGCTGCTGATACAAGGGAAGGACCAGAGAATAGACAACAGCATAAAGTTCATGTTCATAGCGCGTGGGACACGTGGCTCGCCTTAGCCAATAGCAGAGGGGATCCAGTCGTAAACTTTTATTACTCAGCTGTAAATTTCTCCCTTTAACAACCAGGAATGTTTGCACCCATCTTTTCTCCTTTCATTTTTTCGATTGCATACAACTAAAATGACCACGTGGTATGAAGTTCGAAGTTGAGATCTCCCATTTGTTGCAAAATAGATGCGCATCAAAAATATATGACAGTTCTCCTGGTGGGCAAGTATGCTGTGTGCCATGACGTACCCTAGCTAGTGTGACATGGGAAATTAAAAAAAACAGAGTAAGAAATAGATGAAAGGGAGAACAGGAGGAATACGTCTAATTAAACTTCAATTAGCCAAACACTTCCACAGTAGGGCCTCTCTCTCTCTCTCTCTCTCTCTCTCTCTCTCTCTCTCTGTCTCTCTGTCTCTCTCTCAGACTGATTAGGGACTGATTATATGACAGCAAGCATATATCAGCTTCCACATTTAACATTAAAACATCAACTATTTATGCTCTAGGTACATTTGACACTCCGTATCATGGAGATATGGTCAAATTAAACTAATTGCCAGGAGGGTTTCCGTCATCTTTTAAACTTGAAAAGAAAGGTTGCGTCTGCAAAAGACACACAAGTACACACGTACGCTGCAGCTATCCAGACCAACAATTTACAATGTAAAGCGCGTTAGAGGTCCCAATACAATCGATGAGTAACACACACACACAGAAAAATAAAATTGTGCATTTGAGAATATGGACATGAATTTCTTCATTTTAGAAATAAGGAGCACGAACTGGGTTTACATGAAAATGTCTCTTAACAATAACATCGCAGCTGAATGCAGGTTAGATCTAATTCCACTTGAACAATGCCTCTGGCTTTTTTACAATTACAACACAATTATTTGATCTCTTTAACGAAGAAAATAAATTCCCTACAACAAGTTAGTCACAGAAACCAGTCACGTACTTGGAAGAGTACATCTTGTCCTTGCAGGCCGTGATCTCCAAACTGAGCCTCGGCACAGACGGACAAAAGATGCGGACCCATTCGAGCTGTGCCTTAACACCACCAATAAAGTTTACAGCAGGTATACATAAAACTTTATTGGTAATGTCAACCCTGCGGTAAACGTACACTCACACAATGAGGCAGAACGGTTGTGACTTGGGGACATATCCGGAATGTTCTAAAGACTACACGCAAAAGAAAAAAACAATTAAACCCTTGCTGAAGGTGGTTTCATTTAGAAAAAAATACACAATTGAGTGGGAAAAACTAAAATAACGATCTCCAAGATTCTGTTTGTTGTTGACCTACATTGAAGAAAGTAAAAAAAACAATCAGTTTGCGATGAAATATGGTGAAATATATTTGAAAAGTCTGACTTCGATGGGTTGCATTCTTCTTTGCAGGCACAGAATAAAAATTGCTCTAGTGTTCTTACTTAGTGTTTTACTTAAAAACTAAAACATAATTAACAAAAACGTAAATGTGCAGCTCTGTTTACTTTCGATATTTGTTTCTTTCCCCTTATATTATATTATATTCCCTTTGGTTTTCCATATATATCTGAATAGAAAACACAATCAAATATTTTAAATAATAATTCAATATTATTTAAATCAGGTGTAGCACCTTACGTTGTATTTACGGTCACATGAAATGGAAAACTTCGGTTCATTCCAAACACATGCAGACGAACCACGAGTCTTTGGCTGGATGACACTGAAACAACCACATGGAGTGACTTCTTTATGAGGAGATTTTTAGTTTCAATAACACATTGAAAGTTAGTAAAAATAAAACAACATTAATAAATAAAAGTTGTTTATTTCCCTTCAAATCAAAAAACTGCTCGTCTTTCAGTGACTTGCGGAAGGAGGGAACAGTATATTATATTACATTATTTGAAAGAGAAGCATCAGATGCATTCGGATATAATTAAGTAAGTGGGCTTCATTCGTTGTAACAAACTGCATTGCTGCACGTTTTAGACACATTCAAGTCCATGCACTGCTTCAATTATACTCGAATTTTGAGTTTAACTGCTGATTGCCTTTATTTGTTCTCAGCAGTCGTCGTAATAACAGCAGCAGCAGCAGCTGTAGAGGGGAGAAGAAACAAGGTGTTACCTGCACTTGGCCTCTTATCTGCTTTCATTTCGCAGCGGCTCTACGGAGGTTTGTCTCAACCCCAAGTTTCCAAACACCTTGCGTGCATGGTACAGGCGCATAAAGCCTCCCTCATGCTTTGGCCATTATTTGGTCTGATTATTAACATCACGCAAGATGTTTTCTCATATCATCTCAAATAGCCATTATTCATCCCAAGATTCATTAAGGAAAGCCTGGTGCCCACCCCGAAGAGAGGAAGTTTCTTATTAAGGGGATGAATCAAAGACGACTGAGGCACTGCAGAGAATACGCACGCTGTGAACGCTACGCGCAATAATTCCTTACAAGGTGGAAGGGTCCGTCTGCAAACGCACTTCTGGCGGGTTTTTTTTTTTTTTAGCAAACGAGTTGGAAAGTTTAAATTAGGCAAACTTTAGTGGAGAAGCTGTTGGATATGCGTGACTATTTCCCCTGCTGTCGCCGCCAGTGAGCGTTTTGAGGGCATCGTTAAAGCATCTACGCTGTTGCTCGTTTAGCCATTTCCTCACCGACTGATGTTGCCTGTTTGTATCAAATGGTTTATATGGAAACTGAGTCTAACGGCGTATGTAAAAGGGAAAAGCAGAGAAGGTGGAAAAAGGTAACAGAATATGCACTAAACTGTATATTGGAGTCGCCGTCTGTTTTATTCAATGCGGACATGCAGCCCATTTGTATGGTGTGTGGGGAGAAGACGAAATTATTTCTGTAACGGAGGCTGTAAAATCAATAAAAACGAGAAGTGATGGTGAGCCATCTTGTTTATTTGTGATTTTACATCAACAATGGCGGGCACACACAACTCCGTCTTTCACAGGAGAATCACCAGGAAACGAGCATATTGTTAACATCAATTTATAACAAGACGTACATAAAGATTATATTCAGTGCAAAACAACTACGCTATGTCACAAGCACATTAAAATAAAAATTCCCTTACTTTAAAATTCTTGTAATTGTAGCAGGTAATATCATACACAGAAAATGTGCGTTATAGGCAGTTTTAGTTGTTGGGGAAATAGCTTGCAATCGAACCAGAGCGATGCCACAAGTGAGGAATATAAATTCAGCAAAGGCAAGGCTCTGAGTTTAGGTAGTGCCGTGGTACAATCTCAAAAATGTTTGCTTGGCTTCGAGCTAATTGTCTTCCCAAGACTCACAAATTGTCTTCCACAAGTGTATATTGTATATTGGGTAAATGCTACATACATAACTTAATAATATAAGGTTGATATAGAACACTTTTGAAATTAAAACCATATGAAATCTCTATATTCAGAAATCTCTATTGCAATTTCCCCAGGTTTAGGTAGCATCAAAGGATTTCAAACGATTGCATTTCCCTGGTAATCCTAGAAAAAGATGTCTGAGGAGCTAATGGCTATCTTAGTCTAGGCCATTCACACGAAAACGAGTAAAACAGTATAACAGTAACAATTATAATAATAAAACTTGTGGTTTATACACAGGCCGTTAGCCAATGTAACTGCAGCGATGATGTTTGAACACTTACTACTACGCAATAGGCCTACACTCGGAAATGACGCCCATTTTATTTTAAACCTATATAATCTATTTACAATACAAGTCAACGATGGACGTGTTTTTGATCTTTTTGGCTATGCTTTTGATACAGATATTATAAAAAGCAAATTTGTAAAACATAGCTATGCCATTTCCTTCTAACATGCGTTTTTAGTTTTTATTGCAAGGGCTACTGTTCTATCAAAGAAAGTGTGTTACGCGTGTGTAGCCTCTACAGAAAAATACAAATGCCAATCATGTTAGGATAACGGGGATACGGGGGGTTTTGTCTATTGGTGATATGAGAGAGATTACTGTTCCCTCTTGACAAAATTAAAGGATGGTCATAAAGTTGACGCTCTCTGCCTCAGTGTGACTCTTCCTCTGTTTATGGGACCTTTCTTTTTTCCTCTTTTTTTTCAGCCATATAACCATAAAAAGGACCATAAAATCACTCCTTGGTCTCTTCTTTCTCTTCCGCTTCTTTCTCTTCTGCTTCTTCCCCGTCACCGTCCTCGTTTCCTTCATCCTCGGCCTCGGCCTCGGCTTCAGCCTCTCCTCTCTGACCCGGAAACTTGTCTTTGTTGTTCTCTTTTTTCCATTTCATCCTCCTGTTCTGAAACCAAATCTTCACCTGGCGCTCGGTGAGGCTCAGGGCGTGAGACACCTCGATCCTTCTCTTGCGGGTCAGGTAAGGGTTGAAGAGAAACTCCTTCTCCAGTTCAAGAGTTTGGTAACGACTGTAGGTTTGCCTCCCATTCCGTCTTCCTGGGGCTTGAATGAAATAAAGCCAGAGGTTAGCTGGACTGACCGCGGTCCCCCATTAAAAGAAAAGAATAGTGATGACTTATAATTAATTAATAATTCAGCATTTGCCTTCTCTCCCCTCAGCAGGAATACTAATCATTCAGTTCCGTCCTTTAGCTTCCATTCCGTTTCACATTTACTCATCTAATGAGCGGGGAATATCCACGTCTGGAGGTTGAGATGGGTACATCTATCAGGCAATATTCCATATGACGGAATGGAATTTAAGTAATTACCACCTATGTTTGTGCTTTTTACAGATATGTTTGTAGCTGGGGGTTTTACACCCACCACACAAAATAGTTTACAGGGGGAGTGTGAAAATAAATTATATACACGTAAATATATATATTAAAAAAACACTATTAATAAATATACGTGGATAAAGGCAAACGTATCCTCAGTGTAATCAGTTTAGTTTTATCCTTACAATCAAATGTTAATACCGTGTATTTGATGAATATGCAGAGGAAAAAAAGGTTGGAAGGTTTTCCTCATTAGGGCCTTTACCAGACTGGTTCCGATTTTCAATCACGCACACTCCCACACACACTGAGTGGCACGCACATGAGGAAAATAAGAAGGGGGCGGGGGTCGGGGGGGGGGGGGGTATAGGTGATTTCAAACTGCGCTGCAGCAACAGAAGGGGACAGACTATTGATAAGTCTGTCTGCACAGATACAAATTAAGCTTACACCTGGGTAGACTTCACGTGGCCTGATATGCTGAACAGAACGATCCACGCATTGAGGAGGTCACACACAAAGCCCTCGTGATTATGGCTGTATGATTCTGTCACATTGGGCCTGTGGTTCGAATCACGCCCACGCTCTTTAAACCCTGATTCTATATAATCTGGGCATGTTGTTGTTGACTCTGAAGGTTACCGAGGCACGATCACATTTTAAATGCCTCCTTCTGCCCGGTGCGTCACCAGCTCTGGGAATTAATAATAATCGACTTCAAAGAGCCGCGATCGTTCTGAGCTATGTTCAGCAATTCGGTTATTAAAGGCACTTATGAAAGCAAAAAAAAACAGCCCTGTACGGACTTGTGCTGCAGAGTAACAGCTGCCTGCAGTACAGGTTGTATCTGCCCCATCATGTTCCCGAATTACTTCGTTTTGCAAGAGACACACTCGTGTACTCCGGCATATTTAGCACACATGCACAAAAACACGTTCACTCAATCACCCGCATACACACACACGCGCACATGGTAACATAGAAAATAAGAGGAAATAATTGTACGAGTCTGACCGTGGGGTCTCATCCAAGGAAACATAAGACTGGGAGAGGAGTTTTGATTTAAGTGGCCTTGTCCGTCTCCGGGGTTAGAGCTGCTCGACGATTTACAGTCTGGGTATTGCGCTAGGCTTGCGTCTTGCTGGGTACCATAAAGTGTTTGCCTCGGAAGGGCTTCATATCCATAAAATTTCGTAGCGTCTCCGTGGCAAGCCAAAGCGCAGGGGTTCTGCTGGTATCCGGGGTTGGAGATCCCCGTGGTCCCATGGTGGAAAAAGTCCTGCACATGATGGGACGGGTGCTGAAAGCCCGGTGCGGCTGCTCCGGGTCCGTAAACCAGCGTGTGGCTGCGGGCGACGCTTTGTGGAAATCTGCAGTCGTAGTAAGTTGGCTCCAGTGACTCGCTGCCTTTGTACTTGGAAAAAAGAGGGTTAACAAAATAGGAGCTCATGTTTGGTTAGCATCAAGCAGATGGGCTCTCCCGCTGTAGAATATCTCCTTTAGGATGATGGCAGCCTTTTGTTTAGGGTCCCAACTCGCAAGAGCGCGCACAGGCAGACAAACCGGAACTAGGAGAAACGCTGCCCCTTTGGACAATATACGACAGCTCACTCGCTCAGAGCCGTTCCTCTCATCGGATTTCTCTCGCAGTTGTGAGTGTTTTTTTTCTCCCCCCCCCCCCAAGTTTCGCAGGCTCAAACCCGGCTCATGGCATGTGCTTTGGGTGTGCGTTTGCTAAGGTTCAAGATGGCTTGCTCGAGCGGCACAGTCACAGATGCTGCTCTTTTCTGTCTTTTTTTTTTTTTTTTTTTTTTTAGCTTCCCACCGAACCAACCCCCAGCTTGAGCGCCCCCACCCTCCTCACCCCCACCCCTTCATCCTCCTACGCCCGGTCAGACGTGGGCCCTACGTATATCCACCTTGAGAGGATCTGCACTAATCATAAGAAACAACCCCAGAGGCTTTAAATATGATCAATGTTGTGCATAACGCAAAAAAAAGCTTTGTTATAAGATCATCAATGGAGTCGTGGACTTAGACACATGGCACATTTCTACCATATAGTCAGACTTTGCGTGGAGGATTATCAGGTATATAAAGCAGTGAACGCTCCCTCTTTAAAAACGGATACAGCTGTTACGAGACGCCATGTGCCCTGTCAGGCTCTACCGGAGCTTGAACACTGATTTCTGGACTTTATGGGCTCCAGGAGGTCAACATACCATCAGTGAAGTGCATGTTAAAAACCAAAATGCCATATAAAACAACATTACATATGAAGCAAGGCAACGTTGACATTAAAACGAGTGTGTGAGAATGAGGCAAAACATCTCCCTCGTGAAAGCGAGCTAAGGCCAGAGAGACACATCTATAGTAAAATACCGAGAAATATAAACGCGACCTGTGAATACTGGGTGCCACTTACTGACCCTGTAAAACCGACGAGGATAAGCAGTAAATCTCCCATGGAGGAGTTCATAAAATGTTATATCGGATGTTTAGCAATAGCGCGAGCTGAATTCCCAGCCCAATAGTTACATGGTCTCGCTCTCAAAATATACAAGTGTGGTTTTTGTGGGGTTACTGACGTTTTATACACATCATCGTAAACTATGAAAGGCACACTGAAGGAATATAAAAACCTTTCACACTCTATAAATATGCAGATTGCCGATCACTGTTCCACACTTCTTGGAGGCTTTGAGCTACACATTGAGGACGTAAATGAGCAGGTAGCTGTCTGTGTAAAACACTGCACCGACCCGCTGCGAGAACGGGGGTCCATTATTATATTTTATTGTCATGATTGTATTATTATTATTCGAATTACTACTATTATTGTTATTATTATTACAATGTTAAGTAATAATTTGAACATAATGTTGTTTTCTGCTGTGTTGTTTTTGTTACTGATGTTGCCGATGCAATTGTTATTAAGTAGGTAAATATCGCTTATTGTTGTTAACCAATTATGTTATTGCTAATAAGTTAATGATGCATGTTTTTCAACTTAGGTAGCACATTTTATTTGAGTTATTATTTTTCTCAGTTAAACCCTAAAACCAATAAAAAAGAAGAATGCAAAATCCAGACAGATAATAACCCTCCATGTTGTATTATATCACCTAAATGCAGGTATTTTTTGCCTGTAAACCTGTGTGAAATAAATTATATGATTTTCAATGGGAACACAATGAGTGTAGCAAAACAAATGGTGGACAAAATAACATATTAATTAACTAGTTAACTGTCTTGTTTATCATTCAAAAAACGAAATACTTATGTAAACCTTGCTGGAGTGCTGCTTTGTGGCCTCTTAGGCAAAATACCGTCGGTGACCATATCTGTCATTTTGTCATCGATAGGCTACTCTTTATTTTCAGTCAAGCCACAAAGCTGTAAAGAAGCCCATCAATACACAGACTTTGTTCAAAACATGGACTAGCAGCGCCATCTAGTGACCACATGTCTCACTAAACCCGAATGAATCCACCAATAAAAACAAACCAAACCGTGATGTCGAAAGAAAAGGTCTCCCCATTTGTCCAAACCTCGCGTGTATCCCGTCTTCCTTAAATACAGGAAAGGGAAATAAGTAGTTTACCCCCACATCTGTAACTACACGACTCCAGTCTCCTCTGCTGTACTGCAGTCTTGTAGTTGTTGCAGTTGTATATCTGCGCCTCCTGTAAGAGATAACGGGGCTCCGCAGCACTCATATTATATTTACGCACAATAACTATTGACGTTTTCCCATATAAATGTAGGTTAATAGACCACTCATGTGATGGAGTGCGGGGAGGTGGGGTGGGGGGGTGTTGAGGCTGGCCCACCGGGCAAAAGTCCCCCGCAACTGAGCTCTCCTTTGAAGGAGTCCACCAACACAATCCATTAAAACCATAAAGTAATTTAGCCCAGACGTCTAGCCAGTTAGTCGAGTTTGCTTTGTTCGTCTGCATTTGAGACAAATAGTCGAGGTCCAACCAGGGCTGTAAAACTGGCATTTTTGTCCCAGTTGAGCGGAAATGCATCGGATTAGGCTTTGAAATTACAGCATCCTGTCCGCATTGTTTGCCACTACAAAAAGGCAATTTAGGCCTTTCCCAGGAAACAAATGCGAGACTTGGGAAATTGCTTCTCACCTTTGCACAGAAGTGTTTAAATCGGGGCCCAGATCCTCTGATCGACTGTGAGTTTAGTGAACGTAGAAAGCGTATATCAATCAAATTATTTAGATATCAATAATTTAGAAAAATGCCTCCGAGGTGGTTAATATTTAGAAAAGAAAACGTGTTCAAAAATGTGACAATTGTACAACGCTTGGGTCAAACATGGAGGCCAAGGAACAATACAACTAATGCTGCCTTATTTTTTTGCTGTTCTAACAACTATTTTGCTGGCGACTAAATTTAATCAACAGTGCAAAATGAATTATTTTAAAACAATGGTATATAGAAGTAGAATAGAAGTAGAGACGTTTCCCGTTTTAAAATATAGGCTTTTGTGGGGTTATTTTGGTAGTGAACACTATATGTTTACAGTATGTATATACACGTTTCTATGGTTTAGAAAACGTCAATTAAGACACCGATTTATATTAGTGTAGTCAAATTAAATCAATGCGTTGTATTAATCGCTGTGCTACAAACGGTAGATTTTCAACCTCGCAGTTATTTTGCGGTACCAAAGCTCATTTAGGCCCAGGCTGTATTGGAGGATTTTTCGGTAGTTAAAATCACGGTAGGATAATTAATTAGCAAACGTTTACTTTTTTGAAAACACGTACGCAAAGATGATTTGGAATCTCCGTTTCGGGAAGTTTTTCAATCCGTTCAATTTAGGCAATTGAAGGAGATCTTGTTTATTAGGTCCTTCCTGTCGATATGCGTTTGGACGGAAACATGAGATGCACGCTGAGTCACAATGAACACAGCATACAAGCACTTAGTGATAATATTTATATTTGCAGAGGTCTATATCTACAATGTATAGTTAAACTCGTAGGTTACAATCGAAAAAGAGATGCACAAATACAGTAACAATTATCACAAAAATACAGACAGACACACACGTCCGGTAGCAGATGTTCTTTTTCTGTACAAAATACCACACCTGCACATCAACGTATACGGAATACAAATGAAAGAAACAATTCACATCATAAATTATGAGTTTGTAAAATTCAAGAATTCAAGTATTCTCTTTCTTCAGACAGTTTTAACGTGTCCAAACTGCACTTGAATGGTTTCTCTTTTTTTTAAAAACATCGAAGTAAACGCAGAATGTAATTTTTCTTATACTATGGCTACTTAAATTTGCACTGGAAAATGAAAATCAGCATTAGTCTCAAAGTTAAGGTTAATACAAATCCAACAAAGTGACAATTGTGAAGAGGGGGGGGGGGGGTCGTGTGTTTGGTACATCTGTGCTGTCCATTTAACAAGTTAGCATGGTTGTTGTGTGACTGCACACCTCATTAATGTTCTTTGCTGTCGTTCTTTTCTTTGTTCATTTTCTTCATCTTCATCCGCCGGTTCTGAAACCAGATTTTGACCTGCCTCTCAGTCAGATTCAGGACCCTCGCGACCTCGAATCGGCGGTCTCTCGTGAGGTACATATTGAACAAAAACTCCTTTTCCAACTCGAGAGTCTGGTACTTTGTGTACGGACATCGCTTCTTCCTCGTGGAGCGGGCGTGTATCCAATTCGCCACCGGGTTGTCTGCAAGCAAAACGCATCACAATAATAATAATAGAGAGAAAACATGACGGGGTGATGCAGTTTTCAACACTGAAACTGTAGCTATTGACTATTACGTGTTAAGGATTTAGCATCACAATTGACAACCAGAATACAGGTTTTGGTGTTTAAGATAAGCAAAAACATTTTGAGGAATGATCCTCGGGCTCAGACTATCCAACCCTACAGTGATTTGCTTCCTTGTCCCCTTGACTTGTGAGTAACACCGTCGTAAAATACTCTATGCGCTTATTCACTTTATTGGCCCATAAAGTGGCCCGTGGTTCAAGCCTTTACAGGTCCGTGGAGAAAGTCCTCCAGTATGTTCCTACATTCCTCAAGTTGTCTCAAAGAGTCATGAGAATTTGTTTTGGACCCAGAGAGGAGAGCAACTTTTCATGTAACTGCATGCATATACCATCCTCTCATTATTGTGTGTGCGTTAATAATGTTATAGTTAAGTTATATTACCACTCCAATCCACCATGAATGTGGCTTTTCCTCATAAGACAGACCTACATAAGAAAATCAAAACACAACTGAAAGTCAGTTTATCGGGCTGCATGTGCCTCGTGTAATGGCACCGGGTCAAAAAATATGGTCGTAAAAAGGCACCATAAAGCATTTACTGATGAATTGGATTATTTCGTATGTCGGTTTAAGTTATTCTCCTTAGAAAAAAAGGGTCATTACACGTTTTAAGACGATGCACCGTACTTCCAAATTCAACGTCCTCCTGTAGTTTCGAGTCCATGTTTACAACCCCGTCTGCTTTTATAGCCCCAATATTAGCCTAGTAGCGTTTGTCTTTTATGGTTCCCAAAGCTTTCCCCTCAGCAGAGGCGATTTTGGGCTGGGCAGAAAAAGGAGGATGAAACAGCTTATCATTTTTACTTTATAACGGGACGTTGAAATGCTTCTGATCAAAAGTAGTCTTACACAGTCCCTAAAGAAAACTCCCACCCGGGTGTAAAAGACTTACTGGGATCTAGCTCCGGCTTCTCCTCTTTATGTTTCCCTGTAGCCAGGAGCTCCGACTCGGGAGAAGGGAGACTCTGCTGCATCTTGTCTCGCATGTCAGTGGACGAGCAGTACAGGTAATCCGTGTACGTCCGTCCGCCGGAGCCGAGGCACTCTGCGGCTCTGTGCTCCTGAAAGGCGTCGGGCTTCAGCCCGTAGTGCCTGCCGTTCCCCGGGTAGCCATGGAAAGGCACGGCGCCTGAAATGGGCTCCAGCCACGACCGCATATACCTCGAGTCTGTGCCTAAGTGAGGTTGGTGACTGTAGGGGTGGTAAACCACTGACGGCTGGGAGTGCACGGGGGTCCAGGAGGTGGAGAAGACGGGTGGCTTGGGCGCGAAGCTGCAGGAAGGGTAGTCGCCGCACTCCGGTACTAAGGACGTCGCACGAGCGCCGGCGGAGTGCGAACCGGGAGCCGAAAAGCGAGCGGCGGCGAGGACGTCTTCGTTTTCATGGTTGATCAAAGAGTCCACATAATAATTACTTATGGGACCCGTGGTCGACATGTCGAAGCCTCCCCGACTCTTTTACATGCATCCGATTATTATATGGCGTGTATGTGTACTTTTTTGTCGAGCCATAGAACAATCAAGGCAGGTAATTATTTCTCAACGCTTCCCTGGCTGCTATTGGCTGACTCGACGACACGTGATTATATTTACCCCCGCACAAATTGTACAGTGGATCAATGCGCCACTTATCCTGGGATCTTAATGCACATAAATGGGATTAACGAATGTGCTCTTTTGATTTTTCACCGGTACGTATTAGAGGTAAATTCGGCAAATATCTTTGTTAATGCAGAAAACCCGCCTTTGTGACAGCGGATCTTCATTTTGCCGCAGTACTGACCTGCGCACTTTAGATCCATAACCGAGCTGGGCACTATTTTATGATGTAATTAATCTCTGTCTGGCAAAAGCTCCGTGTTATTGAGATGGGTAGTATCGCAGCAATCAAAGTGTTTATTGAATCGTTGGAGTATTTCTATCGTTATAGAAGCAGCAGCAGCACGTTTGATAAAGTGAAGGATTTTAGAATCAGAATTCTGTTAATTTGCTGAAAGAAAGAGAGGCCGTCACACTAGGTACATTTAGGTCGGACCAGCGGCGGAGTCAAAATGTGGTATGAACGATACATCAACAATTCAATTTGCGTCTTTTTAACGAGGACGTGATACCATATCCTATAGCATTTACGAAGATACGAGAGGAGGGGATTCAAATTCTTGACAAGTAGCCCACTGGAGTGGGTTATTCTCGGGTAGTGACCGTCCATGTTTTTATGCACATCTATAAATTTTAACGAGGACCATTTGATTGTTCATAAACGTGTCGTTAATAAGACTGCATCTGGGGTGCAAGCTCCACATAAAAACCACCACCACTTTATGCATGTAAAACAATTCACATTCCACATAAAACCCCGAAGACAGAAAAGAGAAGTCTTCAGAGGGCAGAAAGGGTTCGTTACAGTATTTCATTGCAGGACTGTTGGTTCTAAAAAGTTTACCGTTTGCCCAACGATATATTTGTCAGTTAGAAGGCTGCGTTACACTTCTGCACTGGTTGCAGCGACGCAGCAAATGATAGATTACCAATGTACGAATAATCATGTGAGTGAAGAAGTCAGCGGGGAACACAAATTAGACCGACACATAAATACTGACAGTTGAATGCACATGTGCAAAATGGATAAGGCCTATAACAACGTGGCTTGAAACAGTGATACATCTTTAAAGTTGCACCATTTGTGACGTGGTGACTTTAGTGCTGGAGTATTTGATGGATTATGGAGATAAATTGATGTAACTCGGGTGATTTTTAATAATATGTGAAAGGATGCATGTTTTTGATATGTTGTGGGCTATTTTTTGTGTGACTTTTTATGATAATGTGCGTAATTGCCATTTTGATGTTTGAAAAGGGGTTTTGTGTTTTTCCTTCAGTGAGAGCACTGTACAAATCTATTTATTCACTTATTACACTTTACATATGCACATACTCTGCACTTTTTTGCTACTTTGCACTTCTGGTTGGATGTTAAACTGCATTTCGTTGCCTCAGTACTTGTACCCTGTGCAATGACAATAAAATTGAATCTAATCTAATCTAATCTAAAAAACTAGTGAGTTGAAGAAAAAGGGGTATTGAACTGTTGTAAACTGTAACACGAGGAAGCTAAATATAAGGCTTATCAATTAGCCAAACAAACCGCCCTGTTTGCTTGAATTAACTAAATATAGGTGCACTGCGTTCCATCCATAACAAATCTCTAACCAGATGAACAAATCGAGTTTAACCAGAGGCCGCACTATAAAATAAATCCTAATTTATGAGTGACAATGACGCCTGCTGTGCATTGGGAAATAGAAAAGTCTTGGTTCGTCCAATGACGTCACTTATAAACCGACTACTCCAATTCAAATTAATTAATACGCTTGGAGAATTACTGATATAATACTTAATATTTGACTCCATGGGGCACAACTGTAATTAGCACGCTTTGGGGAGTGCGATGTTATTCATGGCTGAGTTCAGATTCAACCATGAAATTTAAAAGGCCAGACGTCAGACCTTAACCCAGATAACGCCAAACGGCGTCCTGGTGAGCTGATGGATGCGTGTGTCTGCGGTGAGTCAAACATTTCCCCACATGCTTACAGTAATTCAGTCGTTTTAATCAATTTGCCGCACTGTCTTAAAGTTTTGTCCGAGTTGAAAGTCTAATTCTGCATATTCTTGGGCTGCTAATTAAGCAAAATCGGCTCGTTGCTATTTATTACCATGGTCAAATATAAATACATGTTGTACATAAAAATGGTACACAATGTTTACCATCTTTACCAATTTATGCAAGCATTTATGGGGTGTATATGTTTCATATATTTACCATGTTTTAGCCTTATCTGAATACGCCCTTATGTTTCGGTGCACTTGTTTGTGCGTGAACCTGCGTGCGTGACAGCGAGTGAGAGTGAGAGAGAGTTTTTGTTTTTAATCCATGTTTGTTGTTCTACAATAAAAAGAAACAATGTATGCTAAAATAATCCTTTGTTGGTTGTTATTCCAGGTATTTCACTCTTTACCGTGGTTCTTACTGAAGACAAGTGGAGTTGGATAAAAGATAAACGTTACCGTCTCACAAATACCTCTTTATTGCACCGCGAGCCTCCTCTTACTGAAAACCTTTTCACTTGTTCCTTAACGTTTTGAAAACAGAGCCTGCAACAGCAAACCAAAAAGGTGGGGATTTCTCTCTTTCATTTTGATGATTCAGTATCACCATGAATGGAAATACTATGCATTGATAAGTAAAGCAGAAATACCAGATTAGAAGGAGACGGATGATTGTCTGCTCTTGAACGGGATGTTGGTCAAGTCCATTTTACTACGATAATATGAATACTTTGTATTTTCACCTAAAAGGGAGGTACTGTATTTCTTAATATCGTCTGGGTGCATATGAAGAAGTGAATGATGCTAACAATGCCTGAACGTGAGGGTTCCGCCCCAGTGAAAGCCCGCATGCCTCTAACATTTCTCAGACACACGACTCAGTTTTCTAATTATTAAATTAAATGACGCTTCAGAAAACTCAGAAGACAGACCCATATAAGGGAACGTTCACATGTCCACAGCTTCACTAAGGTGGACGATGTTGCAAGTAATTGTTTGTAGTACAGGCGACATGGACACACTGCTTTCACCCGCAACACTTCAAGTGGACGCTAACAGACGTAAACAGCCCGCAGTCAGAGCGCATCGCGGCGCCGCAGTGCAGCGAGGCTACACGTTCATTTGAAATAGTCGAAAAGAAAGTGTTAAAGGTCCCACGCCTTAAATCCTCCATTTGCAGATCACTTTAATCAAGCTTCTAACGGAGTTCGGGGTAGAAATGCAGAAAAGGATACTATTGAACCGGGACGCTTGGATTCAATGAAGATTATAAATGTGGTGCAAGTGCATCTTCGTGAATGTGTGACTGTGAGATCATGACAAAGAGTAACCTGGCTGCAGGTTTCTACTATTAAACCATCAAGCAGAAGCACCGGACTCTACAGGCTGCTATCAAGACAACCCCCTCCTCCCCCGTGCAATTAAAGATTATCTATCATCCATCCCTCATCCATTTTCACTTCACATGAGAGTTTTTAAGTTTACGATTTAAGTTATTTGTTGAAACACGGCTCGCTTTTATAAGACACGTAAGATCCCATCCGCTGGTTAGTGTAAAATATCAGGTCGAAGGTACATGTGTTTTATGAAGATAAGTACATTTGCATTTTCTTTCAGAAATGGTCTTAGCACTCAGGAAGTGTGACTTCATGAAAGCCTGTATCATTTCCTTCATGAATGGTGGTTATCTACACAACATTTGGACGCTTAAATTGTGCACGGTGATTTCAAAGAGCACGATATTATATCCATAACGACCCATTTATGAGCAAATACCACATAGACAAAAGTTACTTTGTGACCAACATGGCCGTATTAGCTAAACAGGAGCATCGATATCAAAGTTAAGCTACATATTGTATCCTTAGATTTTTTAGAGTTTAAAAATGTGAAGTAATTAAGTTGGGATGAAAACGTAAGAAAACCCACGTAAGTTATATTTCTGTAGCGGAAATGTCGTCCCCGAGTATACAACTGAGTTTACAATGCAGATACGAAATGTTCCCATTTAATTAACATAAAAAAAATCTAAATTAGGAATTCAGTTTTATCTATCAGCAATATTCCAAATAATAAAAGAGGAAAGGATTTTCAAGTAAAAAAAGCAATAGTCTCTCTTGAACGTGTTATGAATAAAGCACAATGATAACATTTCCGTACACATTTCACACATTTGAAAAGGAAAAAAAGAAAAGGAAAACCCGTAACCATATTTGACTTTTATCAGATCATGCCAGCGGGAGTAACACATCTCGGCCTGTCCCAAGGAAGCTTTAGCGTTCACTTCCTGTCCTCCACCACAAAGTGAAATAAATTGCTTCATGTGTATCTGGTTTTAGGGTAAATCTGTGCAGCTCTCAGGGCTGTTTCCAGCGCTGTAAAGTCTTTGTCAGTGATGCATTCCAAGAGAGACACTCATTCAGTGAGCTGAATGAAAATGACTTTGGATTCCAGACTGTCTCTTCCAGTTGCAGGGGGGGTGGGGGGGGGGGGGGGGGGGGGGGTACATCAGATAAGCACAACAGACAACAGGCAAACTCTTTATCCTTACTTTTTGCTAACAACAACTCAAATAATTTGGCATTATCGAAGTTGAAGTTATCCCAACTGTTTACTACGAACAGGAAAAGCATTAAATGTAAGAGTGACGTTCTTTAATGCACAGAAATATGATTTGCATGAGTTTCACTGACATTTTCTTAACATCAAGTTGATGTGAAATCGTTCTCATGTGTGTGTCCAACGTCAGAATTATTTGAGGCCACGTCTATGTTGGGCCATCACTCAGTTTAACACTATTGAGAGACATTTGAGAATGTGATTGAACGGAATAATTTGAATTTCAAGGCGTGTATTAGCATTTACAGGAGCCAGACTTCACATTATGGAAATGGAAATACGCACGTATTCCCTGTTAGAACCAGCTTCATTCGTCGGATGAATGAATGATTCAAATGTGTGACATATATCCACTGGTATCAATCCATCTGTCTAGATTTAGGTGATCATAAAGAAGCTGAAACCACAAAACCTAAGCAGACAGTCGGTGATGACAGATGCAGTATAACGCAGTCTAAAATTTACCCCACGTTGTTTACAACCCATTCTCCTCCTGAGAACCTCAGAAGGTTTTACAGCCCACCACAAAAAAAACAGCAAAGAAAGAAAACATCTCTGTCCAAGGTATTGCAGCTCAGTTCATTTACAATGCCATTTGCGGGGAGACCTAGGTGACTATAGGGGGTAATTCAGCGGAAATTGTGCCCTTGATGAAGACGAACTGACGTAATCAAGGCAGTTTCTTGTTGCCGAGCCAGGAAGCCAACCCCAACAACATGAAACTACCTAAACCACGCTTCAGCTTCACGCAAACGGGTTAAACTCCATGGATAGGAAAAACCAAGAGAGGAGTAATACTTCTCACCACAAAGACAAAAAAGGCGAGTATATACCGACACAATAAAACGCGACATGAGACGCAGCTAAAAAAAACCTGCGTGAAAAAAACAACTTGTAGAACCCGACCTGGCTTTGTTCATAAAATAATAATGTGTCAGCATTATTATAATAGTGTACATCCATAATAGCAGTATATTGTAGCAGTAAAACACAGCACAGCAATTTATTCATCCGTTCTAAATAAGCAAATCGCCAGGGAAAAAGTCAGCAACGCGAGAAAAAAAACAGGAAAATAATCAGCAACTAGCATTTTGATTATCGTGACAGCGCAAACAGAAAATCCGCGCAGCGCTGACTGATTCACAACTGAGCAACTATCGTGTGCAGACGTGCACCTTGCGTGCCACGAGAACTGTCACGCCAGCTCCCCGTGACACATGCTGCAGATTCTCCCCGAACAGGAAATAACGATACGACGTAAAATCGGAGCCCTACCTTGACTTGCTTCCTGCTCCGTTCCGTTGTCCACGTGTTTACCACGATGCGTGTTGTTATTATTGTTCACGCCGCCGTCGTGGTCGCCGTCCCTCTTTTATCCACCATCTTTCTTATCTCCTGCTCTCGCGAAGCTCCATTTTGCCGGGTGGAAGCTGTTGTTCCTTCCAGCTCGGCGCCTCCGATGGAGCCCGCACATTGCAGGCTCTGCTATGGATTAGCCCCCCTCCACACGCGCACACACACACCTTTAAACGCATCTTTACTGCTGCAGCACATTATATTTGCAGATCATAAAATCCACCCCCAACGTTTTCAGGGCGAACCTGACATTAGAATTTTATGACCTTGACTTACTGTGGTCACCTGGATAATATTTAAATCAACGTTATGGTCTCTCACTTCTATTAAAACTGCCATGATCTACTTCTCTCATCCGCGGTGTGTCTTTCCCTCCCTCTCATTTCCACCACTATTCTAGAGGAAGGACAAAGTTGGTAATGCCTTTCCGTGTACTACTACTTCATTGTTTTGGTCTCATCTTGCGATGACGTGGCTTGATATTGTCATGGGAACACGTTACGAACATGCCACAGCAACGGATACCAACGAAAAGGCTGCAATAGTGGCAAAACATCCTCCTCTTTTCGTTTGCTTCACAGTTGTCAGTTCAAGGCAATAGCATCACGATGTCCCAATGCTCCTCCAGCAAGCGTTGTTCTGGAACTAAAGTCTGCCGGTGGGCAGACATGACGTGCGTGCGTGTGTGTGTGTGTGTGTGTGTGTGTGTGTGTGTGTGTGTGTGTGTGTGTGTGTGTGTGTGTGTGTGGCTTGCACAAAGAGCATTTTTATAAATGACAATTCAACACATTATGAGATGACACGTGCTTCTCTGTCTGTCTATCATGTCTATGCATGTGGGTGCGTGTATGCATGTATGTATGCATGTATGTATGTATGCATGTATGCATGTATGCATATGTATGTGCATGTGTGTGAAAGTCTGCTGGAATTGTCTTTAAGAATAGTTATATACTGCACTGTGCGCCCTGCCTCGGCTCTCCCTGTTGAGCTTCTTGAGCTTCATGCGTCTGTTTTGGAACCAGATCTTGACCTGTCTGTCGGTCAGGTTGATACTCCGACTGATCTCCAGGCGGCGCTCCCGAGACAGATACATGTTGAACAAGAACTCCTTCTCCAGCTCCAACGTCTGGTGCTTTGTGTAGGGACAGCGCTTTTTCCTTCCGCTTTTGGCTTTCAACCAGCTTCCCGTGGTCTTTTCCTCGGATAAATCATCTACTGGAGCAAGAAAAAGACACCAATGAGCAACGGTGGCAGGATCAGGATCCATTTTGTGCAGAGATCATAAGCAGCTTCATAATCCTCATCGATAGACCCGATGTTAAACACGCCCATATCCTGCATGAAGCGGCCGTCTGCATCAAACAGGGGAAGAAACTGATCAACCGGTGTGGAATATCCGGGACAAATGAAAGAACATCCCACTTTTGACCACATTGTATGCTGCTTGCAAACGTCTTTCACGGCTATAATAAGATCCGATGTGTAAGCACTTCTGTTGTCCGAGTTGGCCCTCAGACTCTCATAAAACATTATTGGCACTGCAGCCAAATCATGTATTTGTAGATTCCTCCGGATGGAAGTCTCCGTAGCATCACAGCGAATTTAAAAATAAGTATATACAAAAAAATACGGCATGTTAGCAGGGAAAATTACGCTGCTGCGCATTCGGGTAATTTCTTGATTAGGTTACAGACTTATAGGGAATAACGCCTCTTTTCTGCGCATGCCAACGCGTACACATGCGTACATCATGCAGGTTACAGTCATAATTACCCTAATGCGAACACTCGGGCCCACGTTTAATCATTACACTTAATTCAGTAATGTGGGATTACAAGCGTGTGGAATGTGCACACACTCACACACGCTAACACACTGTCTATATCCTCTAATTAAATTAAAATGAAATGAAATGAACTTGTTGGTCGTCATTTAAGAAGCTAAATCCATAAATAACGCAGAAAACGGAAACTCATTTTTTAAAGAATTACATACTAACCACAATGATATCAGATGTGTAACCTACGGCGCATCATTCTATCAACATATGAAATATGTATCACACGATGTGTGCGTATTTAGAACATTATCAACATTCGTTACAAAATGCTAATTTATAAACTATGCATATTTTTGCTTCTATCAATGTCAAAAAATTCGATTAATTCTTACCAAGCTGCCACTGTTAGCAAACAGGCAAATACGAACTGTATTCTTGCATTGTATTCTTATATCGCACCAATGCACCAAGTCAAATTCCTATGTGTAAAATATGTGGCAATTAATGCTGATCTGAGACGTGAACTGTGACCAACAACAATATGTTATTAAAAAACGAAATCTTGAATTATCGTTACATCGATGGAGAAAGATGTTTTAGTGTTAGTGGAAAAAATATATAATAGTAGCAAATGTTGGCCACGGGTTTTAGTACAAACTTCAGTTTTTAATCAAAGCTCTGGAATTCTATGGAGGAAAAATATACCTTTGGGTTACGTCGCATGCAACGCAAATGACAATGCAAATCCCTTTGAGAGGAAGAGATTAAAGTGGTTGTTTGTTTATGCGTGTGCCAGTGTGTGTGTGTGTGTGTGTGTGTGTGTGTGTGTGTGTGTGTGTGTGTGTGTGTGTTTGTATGTGTGTGAGAGCGTTTATTTAAACGATAACTGCCATTCTCGTATTAATGCAAAAGGTGTTAAATGCCAGGAGCACCACAACCCGCTAAGAGAGGCTGGCAAATGTTCACACACCGTTTGACAGGGTTGTGACTGCGATCAAACACGGGTCCGCATTATTGGGTCGTGGCACAACACACACGGTACAGACAGAAGAAATGCACATGTGGAAGTTCGCACGTTTCCTGTGTGAGGGCCAGGGGGGCCGGGGGTAGGTGTGTGTGTGTGTGTGTGTGTGTGTGTGTGTGTGTGTGTGTGTGTGTGTGTGTGTGTGTGTGTGTGTGTGTGTGTGTGTGTGTGTGTGTGTGTGTGTCAGGGAAAAGGAGGAGGGTGTAAAGTAGTCGTCTACCTTTTAATTGCCCGTCCGAGTTATCTGAACAGCTGTCACTCTTGGCCTTCTCTTCCTTTCTTTTCTGACTCTCATCTGTCTTTGAACGCTCCCTCGTTCTTCCCTGTGCCAATGTATTGCAACTTATTGCCGATTTTGATGCTGATTCAACAGATGTCTCCAAGTGGGTCAGAGAGAAGCCGGAGGGGAACTGCTCGTCGTCCTGCTGCGGCCTCTCGTTGTACACCTGGAAACAGTCTCTGGACGAGGCGCTGCGCTCGGGCCGGCAGCTATTGTCCCCGAGCCGGATGTAAGTGGCCGACTCTGTTGTCTGCTTCCCCTTATTGCTGTCATCCTGATAGAGGCAACAAAACGCCTCCTCTTTGACGTTGCCCGCTGGAAATGAGCAGGGTTGTAAACACTGGGCAACAGGTTGTTCCTCCCCACTGGTTTTGGAGCCCGGTGTCCATGCGGCCGACAGGTAGGGCGCATCCAGGAAGCCGCTGAGCGGAACACCGCCCGGAGCAACCTGGTCTCCTTTCGAGAGTGAAGCTGGTCCTACCTTCCCAATGTTCCTCATCATTGAATATCCGTACTCTGCAGCCGCGTGGCTATACATCCCGGGGTTGTTGGAATAACCCTCGGCCCTGAAGGAAGATGATCCTCCCGTTAAAGAATCCATCAGGAATTTACCGGGCGCTATATTATTCGGACATGACATTTTTTTTTTTGCATTTGGCAACACAGTCATCGACTGGTGAGTTGCACCGCTCTGAACTATGCGGGATTTATCCGAGAGAATAACGACAGTAGGATGCTGACATCTTTTGGAGGGGGTGAAAAATATCAGCAACATAATTATGGATGCGGGGAGACATGTCATGTGATTTTCAGACCAATAGCAGCGTGAAAGTGGCCTTGATGCTCCAGACTGAGGTGACGTCAGCACGGTCAAGTTGGGGAACCTGGAGTCTTTTTGGTAGAGCAGGAGCGCCATCTAGCGCTCAAATGCCGGTTAGGACAGGAGGGCAGCAGCAGGGCGAACAAAGGGAGGCGGCTGCAGCAAGATCTTTGTGGCAGCTATTAGGTGCCTTTCTAAATATTCTGATTTAGTTTCAGTCCTGAACTTTGAAATTTGAAAGGAAATGAATTGGGGCAACGTGCAATGTCTCTTTAGTCCGGCGCTGCGGAGGACAAGCATTCCAAGAGTTGCTTTTGCGTGTGTGTGTGTGTGTGTGTGTGTGTGTGTGTGTGTGTGTGTGTGTGTGTGTGTGTGTGTGTGTGTGTGCGTGTGTGTGTGTGTGTGTGTTCTCCATGCGTGTGTTCATTTAGTTTGTTTTCGTCGATTTGCTTTGTTGTTGCCATCGATTTGGGGAAGGTAAGATATTCGCAGGTGTGTAATCAAAAGGGAAATCTGAAGAGTGATTCAAATGTCTACATTTAAAATCGTTAATTGCAGAGAGGTTTAAACATTCGCGTAAATGAGGTGACCTGCTGCCGATTTTCAGAAACACATTTCAAACATTACGAAAACCTTTTTTTTGTATCCATTTAGATTTGTAAAGGACTTTACCACACTGAATTATACCATTTTTTTTCCAAAAGCAAATATATAATTTAATCAATGGGTTTCTTCTTGAAATGGCAGACATAAATAGTATCTTGACCATGGGATTGGTTCGCTATGGAAATGTATTATTGGTATCTTATGCAGAATGACGTCAATGATGCTGTTTCTTTCATTTCTGTTGGTGCTCTCGATATATCTGAAATTAAGAGTGTAATAGATGTTCTCGTTTTTGTTCATATTTAATTCTCAGCCTGCGGGTCAGAAGAACTGCTCTGTGAATTAAGTGTGTCTCTCATTAAAATGAACGTATTTGTGCGGATACACGTTATCTATAAGTGGAGGCGAACAGTTCAAAGTCTTATTTGCACACGTGGTAGATTGATAATCTGTTTATTTTTGTGTACATTTTGTGTGAATTTTAGCAAATTAAAATGTAGCCCATATTTTTGTGGGAAATCCCTGTTTTCTTCACTCTGTGTGTTGTGTTGTTTTGTGCGTCTGACGTGCTTGGCTCAGCCTTCGGACATATTTTCCTAACAAACCCGCAATTGTTCTAAACACTATAAACACGTTTCTCCCAAACGTTCACGAGGCGCTATTCCGTGCTGAAGTTTAAAAAAATCACAATTATTCCTTTAAAAAAACATGGAGCTTGTAAAACTATAATTCATTATTTTCTGGATGTGAAAAAGGCCACGAAGCGGTGATTCAAAAATGCTGCGTGCCTACAGGAGCTGCAACAAAACTACGTCTCATCAGCGTTGTGAACACTATCACAGACCAACAAACACGACTCCAGATGCTCATATTGATGGCAACAGTTTAGTTGAAAGATTGTTCGTGGAAATTATGCTACGCGGGTTTGCTCTCGTCCTGTAGTTTGGTTTGTGCGAATTGTGCACCTCCTTTTGTTTTTTTCAGTTCAGAATCATTTTCAAAGGCAAGGGTAAGACAGGCATGTGCTACACATGTGGGTTTTTTTTGTCTGGCTTTGCATGCGTACAGTGTTTCAAGACGAGACAATACATTTATTTGCACGTGATGCCCTGCATGTGAGTCAAATACATTTTCATAATAACCAGTACACATAATACACATAACAACCAGTACACAGTGTATTTCTGGTCCTTCTACATCCCGAACATTTATAAAAGAAATAGGACCAGTTACACCTACAGATGAAAGTTTAGCATCTTCATTTCTTGTGTTGTGTTTTTTTTGCGTGGACAACCTGACTCATGAATCCCTTATAAATATAAACTATAAACCCTGCACCCTTATATGTGGTTCCTGGACGTTTTACATTTTAATGTAGTTTCTCAGCCAAGAGGACCGAATTATTAAGGATGGTCTCACCACACTCCAACTTTCTTCGATCCACACTCGTCTTGTGTTATGAATGGACACTTTAACAACCACACCAGCTCACCTCACAAACGGACAGCGCTGACACACAAAAAAAAACTACTTCAAGACAAATTCAGACGCCTGCATACCTCCAACTCAGAAGAGCAGAAAAAGTAGGTGTGCAGACGGCACTTAAAAAGGGTGCAGTGTGGGTCTTTACTGAATTTGCATGGCATAATAATTAAGAACAAAACGGCAATTGTAACATTAAGAAAAGCCCTCACTGCGCATGTAACTTTCCGCTCCCATAACAAATTGAGCACTCTGCTGCTATTTGTCAAAAAAAATGCAACCCTGTTTTTCCGCAAAAGATATCGCATCGTATTTCGTGATTTTTTTTCTGCAAAGGTCAGCGTATCCTTCAAATAATGCGCTCACAAAAAAAAAACGTTTAACGGATACGCTATATTAGCATCAAACTTCCAATAATCTTCTCGGACACACTTGTACATATGTTGCTTGTCAAGGTTTAAGCTACCCTGAGCTGGCCTATACACGATTACAAAAGACCCACACACCCGCACACAAACACACACACACACACACCGGCACACAGGAAGTTGACTCCAACTGTATTTTACCAGAGTCTTTACACTTGTCCAAACCACGGCCAGCACTTTCGCCACTAAATTCCGTCCAATTGATTTCAAACCGATGGGCTGTTATTATGTTCCGAACAGGTAGGTGTTGAATGCTGCGGGACGGACGGGCCAGTGACTGGTTTCCTTATTGGACTAATCAGGAGCCACTGGGGCGACACACCTAATTTGCCCCTGGCAACCACTTTGAAATATCTTCCCACGTGAGGAGATTCTGCTTTGTGTCCTCTTTTAAACTGCGGTCCACTCTGTGCGCAACAGCAAATGTGCGGCGCCAGAATAATGTAAGCTCTTAATTAAAAACTGGAGTGCTGACCGCGATCTAAGTGCAATGGTTAGAACTATTTAATTATTGATACTCCTCGCACGCAATATCTGCCTTTAAACTTTCTATAAATAACTGTGAAAACAAAGTATTAGCAGCGTTCTGCACTCGTGTAAAATCAAGCGTGTTCAGTTATTTGGTTGCAGCAGGAGAACAGCAATAGTTCGTTTTACAGCAACCAACTGTTTTATGGCCCCGTAGAACAGGAAAGGTGCTGAGATATGAGTGATACACTGTAGTATAACATCATTCAATAGCCTATAACCCCGTGATTAGAATGTGCAGAGAAACAGGAATACTACATCATAATTAAAACACAATAACCTTTTACTGTCATATATATATATGCTACAAAATACTATCGACCTTCGCAGATTTTCTAAATATACTGTGTTTTCATTTTTTTAGCTTATTTTTATATACAAGCATACACATGTTTAAATGATGTCAAATTGTAAGTATACCTACTCCATTATTGCCTATATGTTTCTATACAATTTCAGTTATTTGAAGGTCCATGGTAATAGAACTTTCAATGCACTCACACACACACATCCATATACTTCCCATGATAAAACATTATTTGTTCATAGCCAGGTTTTATTTACAATACATAAGTGGCATTGCTATTTTACAGCATCGAATCGAACATTTAAATTCTTGAAAACAATTCCTCCGATTTTACGGGGCTGAATAAATCAATTTTCCTTTTGCATTAGCACCAGGCTATATCCTATTTCTCCCTGCTGCCTTGCCTCAGACACACCGCCATTTTCCTTCACCACAACCACTGAACCAAGCGAACACACGACCTGCATTCCTGCACAGCGGACTTCTGTCTCACAGCACGTCACAAAGAGGACGCCGTCTATCTATCACTAATACTCTGATGTCACCAAGGCATCCATCTCAGGAAACATTGTCAAGACCCCTTCGAAGAAACAAAGTGGCGCGCGGGCCGGGAGGCTCCTGGCCCCCGTGTGGTTAATAGACAACATTTGCACATCTCCGTTAGTGACGTTGAGTGCCGGAAACCCTCCCAGGGCCAAGGTTGGAGGGTGTGGCGAGAGAGGCGCTTCTTTAGCCTTGATCTCCACGAGAATTTGCGTCACCTTTTGTTCCGCCACATTTTGCACGGACATATGCAGATTGAGCCTGAACTCAATTACGCGTGAAGACAAAATGACAACGCAGCGACATGCGTGTGTAATGCGATTAAAAGTGTTCCCCTTTCTCCCTAAAATAATAATATGATCCGTATGAAAACGTAACGCTTATCCCGGGAGAAAGCAAACCGACACTGACTTTAAATGAAACCCTCAGGTCTAAATAAAGAACTATAAACTGCGCTGTAAAATATCTGTCAACCATGCGCTGCAGCCTGAGCAGGAGTCACGTCTAAAGTCGGGAATCAAAAGCTGGACGGACTCAACTCACCACGGCCACAAACTAAAGTCCCCCTTTACGCGCACTGCGACAGCGGCGCGTAACATCTTATTTTCTGACTTTAGAAAATACAAATACAAGTATACACTGTGTACCAAATGTGTGAACGCGTATACATTTAACAAGGTCAATAAAGTGTATTTACTGGCCGTGCTAAAGCTGGCAAAGTTACCTGTTGTAGTTTAATGCGAAGGGTCAAAGTTGGTCTCTTTACACATTCCACTTTCTGTTCCCACTCACGCTCATTGGCCCGTTCCGCCGCTACACACATTTCCGGGCTAAAGTGTCTCCCTGATTCCACTTTATTGCAGCGGGTTAAAGGTGAAGGCCTTGACATTATTGAAGTTCAAAGACTACATTTAATTATACATTGTAGTTAATGCACACGTGCAATCATCATGCGCATATGTTTGGTAAGACACATTCGAAATAAACGTAAAGGTTTATGCTGAACACACACACACACACACACACAC